TCTACTCTTCTTCTTTGGTGTCGCTTTGGTAACTTGCCCTCTGCTTGAAGTTGTTGCATCTTTGCATTATGTTCATCTAGTATGTTGCAAATTTCCCATGTCCTTTTTGCCTTTTGGCTCTGGTCGCCCATCTCAGGTAACCTATATCCTAGAAAGAGTTTGTCATAGTTTGTATTTGAGTCTTCGCGTATTGTTTGCATGACTCTTTCCTGAGTTTCCGGTTCAAGCTCTTCAAACAGTGCCTGTCCATATGGAATATGCTCGTTTCCAAATATATGTTTTTGTAGCCATTCTGGTTTTCTTTCCATGTTACCAACAATATCTTTTGTGAATGGGAAAGCTTTTACCCAAAGTTTCAGTCTTGTGTCATTTATTTCTGTAGTTGGTTTTATTTTGTCAAGGAACATGTTTTTCAATACTAACATTTCATTTGGTACTGTCCATTTGAGTTTTCTTAAATATTCATCCCTTCTCGGTTCATTGTCTGCAAAGTAAGTTTTTATGACATTTTGTAAACTTTCATTTGCAAGGTCATGTACAATAGGTTCTCTTCCTTCTCTGTCCATAACTTTCTTTCTAAACTCTTCACCAAATATACCATCTTTATGGTTCTGTGTAGTTCTTTGAGATAAATGTTCTAGAACGTCAGGTGTTATATTTCCATCAGCCATGTTCATTTCATACTGGTCCAAAATATCTGCATGTTTCATATCTTTCAATGGCATTAAAGCCGCGCTTAAAATACCAGCTATATCTTGTTCACCATTGACTTCCATTGCGTCTACAACTTCTTGGAATTGTGGTTGTAAGTTTATGAACCACCTATCCGGGTTAGCTTTATGACCCCATCTCATTGTAGTTCCATCGTCTGCAGAAACAAAAGTAGGTTTGTTTCCATCTTGGTTAGGTTCTGAATGAACTTTAAACAATGTTTCATTTCTATATGTTTTCTTGAATTTAACCTTTTATTTTCACCGAGTTCATCCAAAGATTGAACGTTAAATGCTCGTAAGTAAAAAGGGTTGTTGTATTTGTGTACATTTTCTTTCAGTACTTCCATTCTATGCTGAATATTTTCATCTGGTGTTGGAGTCTTTTGTATGTCGGCAAACATTTTTCGATATTCTTCTACTATGTCAGCCGAATTTTTTTTAGACTCTTGGAAAGATTCCATATTCACCTCATACTCTTGTTGAGGGTCAAGATTTTTCGGCTGTTCCAAATCTTCATCTAGTTCTGTGAAGTTAGTTTCCAAAGGAAGGACTTGTTCGTTTCCTTCAGGCTCTTCTAGCTGTTGTTGCTGAACTATTTCTTCCATGTCTGGTTGTATCTGAACTTCTTCCTGTGGAGTTTCTTGTACCTCATCTGCTGGCATTTCATATATTCCGAGACCGTTTTCAACAATTTCCCTATCTACGTCATCCGCATTCATAAGCTTTTGTTCTTTCGTTCCGTCTCTATTTTTTACGCGTTTCATGACGAAAGTTGAATTGTCATTTAGCTCTGACATCAAATATCTCGGAGTAAATTCATCCATGTCATTTGGATGATATGCTATTAAATCATATCCCTTAGCGAGCTTGTATTTTCCAGGTTTGAGATTATATCCGTTTTGGTGCTGAGCCATAAAGCTAAATAGGTTCGGGTCAGTATTTCCATCCTTGAACTTTCTAATAGCTTCTTTATATCTGTCACTAAAGTCAATAGTATCTGAGAAACCACACTCTTCTTTAAGCATTTTTAAGAATTCTTGGTTTCCTTGTTCTCTACTTCTTTTATGTCCTTGCTCTGTTTGTGGTTGTTGTTGTGCAGGGTTTTGAACTGTTGGTTGCTGTGCTGGTTGTTGTGTTGGTTGTTGTGCTGGTTGTGGAGGTGGTTGTTGTGCTGGTTGTTGTGTTGGTTGTTGTGTTGGTTGTTGTGTTGGTTTTGGTGCATGCCTGTGTCTGTGTCCATGTGATGATGTAAATGTTCTAGGTAGTCCTGGTGCAGGTGCTTCTCTTGGAGGGTTTGGTGGTATATAAGTTCCACCAGCTGGCACATATGTTCCATCTGCAGCGTAATGTCCTACCTGACTTTTCGTTCTTAAGAAAGCATTTACTAGGTCTGTTTTGGTCTGTTGTAACTCTTTTTCTTGACTTTTCACAACAGTTGCTCTAACGCGTCATAGGCACTTTGAACTGCCTGTCTCGTTGCTGCATCTGTTATTTTCGTCATATTTTGTGCTACTTCTTTTAACTCTTTGTCGAAACCTTCAGACTTCAGTTTCTTTCCAGATGAGAAGTCGTTCACTTGTTTCACCTTACTATGAAGAGCTTCGAAAGCGTTCTTAAAGTCAGCATTTGTTAAAGCTTCATTTGAACTATCTTCATCCGCTTGTATTTTTGTCCTTATTGACCCTATGAGTTGGGCTGCTTTAGCGTTGGCTTGGCATCTAACCAGTCATTGTTAGCTTTTATATATTCTGCGCTTTTCATTGCCTTTTGCATGGCTGCGTCGTTATTTTTACTTTCTTGTGCTAAGTTTTCATACTGTACGGTTTGGTTTTGCAACTGTAAAAGTTTTTCTGCCTTTACAGTTGCTTCAACTTCTTTTTTATACTCATCGCTATCCATATATGTCTTCAGGGCTTTTTGTTTTATCTCTTCATCTTTCAGTACTTTATATTGAGTAGTATGGTTTTTTCAAATTTATAACATCTTGTTCCATTTTTGCTACTTCTGCTGCTTTTTCTGACACTTTTTCGCATATTCCTCTGTACTTAGTTCTTTCAGTTGTTCTTCTTTCTTCTTTTTCTCTACGTTTAACTCATTGAGTTTCTTTGTGTGTCTGTCATATTCTAGTTTCTTTTCGTTTTCACCTATTTGCTTCTGTATGTCTATGTTTGACTTTTTGACATCTGCTATTTGATTTTTGAGTGAACTCAAATTCATTTGACTTTGAGGGTTATAAGCTGTTCCGTCTGCAGCTCCACCATAGCCTGCCATTTTCGCTAAAAGTGCCGCTCTTAAACCTCCACTCTGTGCACCAATAACTCGGTTTAAAAGCATAGGATTGCTTGACATTTGTTGCAACATAGTGGGGTCATTCAGCATTTGTTGTTGCAACTGTTGTTGTGGTGTTAGTCTTACTATTGGATGTTTCAATGCTCTCTTCCTCTTACGTATATTCTTACGTAGCTTACGTGGCATTTTAAGTGAAGTTAAAAAGCGGTTTTATACTAAACATCTTCGGGGCTAGAGGGCACGAAGTGCCTGGAAGCCCCAATGCCTTTTTTTTTTTTTTTTTTTTTTTAGAGGGAACGGGAATAGCATCCAATATTCCCTGAGAATGGTTGCGCATTCTCAGTTCCCTCTATATTTCGAACGAAGCTCTCATCGGTCTTTTTTTTTAATACTAAACGTTTTTTTTCCCTGTCACTTTTAGCTAAAATTTGGGTTTGCCTTTCGATTTCGGAAATTAAATTTCCAAATTTTTTGTCGATTTCGGAAATAACAGGATCCCGCATCCAACACGCAACAACAAAACACAAAACACACTTTTTGGTTCTTTCATCGTTTTAATCGTAATTTATGTAATACATGATTTGGATAAATTTTACAAAAATAGAACCTATATTATATTCTTTTCAAAGATTCTTGCAAATCATCAAAAATAATTGTATTTTAAAAAACGATCAAATTATCCTTTCATTATTTTAAACTTAAATTAGTTTTTATGATTGACTAAAGCAATCATATTTATTCATCATTAAATAAACAAAAAAATAATATTTGAGAGTTATTTCAAAAAAAAAACACATTGAATTTATTAATTTGTCTCAATTTCAGTATTATAAATTTTTATAATTTCAATATTTTGAAATACACTTTGTAATATTTCAATATTTATGACATTTCAATGTATTAAGTGGTCTCAAATTGAGCTTCTCAAATATAAGTTGGCCTATTCAAATAATAAAATTAAATAATATTTAAAATAATAAATAAAAGTGATTGAGGTCATAGCAAAACGGCTGTTTCAGTCATTAATTCTTAAAAATAAAAAGGGTAAAAACTAAATACAATGGGTAAAATTCAATAGTGTCTGTGCTATCGTTCAATTTGAAGGTGTCTTTTGAAACCGCAAGACACATTGAATTTTTGAATAGTGTATTATGGTTTGACAGACACCAATGAAAAAAATAAAATGATATTTATTTTAAATATATAAGATCCTTATATAAAATATAAATATTTTATCGTTTTATTTTCTTGTTTTAGAAATGTTTTTTATTGAAAAATCAATAAAACTAACTCCAAAATAAAATTTTTGATTTAAAGACACTATGATGACACCAGGCAAATCTTCCAAGACACCTATCGTCGGGAATCTAACAACCCTACTTCGTTATCTTTCAAGGTTTCTCACGTTATGACATTGAACTCATTTGGAAACAGTCAGGTATAACATTACCTTTTGAAGAAATTTGGGAAGCATATAAGTCTCTCATCTCTCCTCGTTCATACCTTGAGATTCATATCATGACTAATACCATTAAAGTCAAAAATATTCCATGGGAACGACCAACATTGTTTTAAAGTTTAACCTTCAATTGACTGATGGTAAACAAATTCCATGCATCTCTGTCGCCATTTCTGTTAATATTTTTGCTGTCATTCATATCATCCACTTCTCCATCCGTTAGCTTTTGAGGATATGGGTTAGAATAGCTGTTCTTAAATGAAGGCTTTTCACCTTTTAGCGCATAAACTCTATAACTTTCTGCATACTTTATGTTTGAACCTCCTGAGCCATCATTGACATAAATTTTTATAGGTTTCCACCCTTTGTTCATATTCCTGCTTCTTCCCTTTGCTCTTTTGTTCAGTAGTTCTACATCTTTATACACAGCTCCTGTCTCAGTGAATTCAACAATATTTTCATTCGTTAGCTTTACATTCAAACCCTTGTCGAGTATATTGTTCATTTCATACATATAAAAGGTTTTTATTCTATATGAAATGAGAAGCAAATCCATCTTAGCTGGTGCCGTTAATGTTCCAATTGAACCAACATCAAATGTTGACTCACGAACGACAAACAATATTGTCATAAAGAACTATAGTTCGGAGTGTTTGAAAGAAAAAGAACCAGATCTTAAGTCGGTGAATTTAAACACAGCTTCAAACGCTAACGCTACATCAGATGTTAAGTTAGAGTATCCACCACTGGACCAAGTTCTTTCAAGAGAAGCCAACGACAACCCTTACACAAATGTTCAAACAAATCCTTCAGATAACGTAGACCATTACCTTCTTCAGTTATATCAAACAATTTTACTCAAAGACGATAAGAAGCTTTTGACAAATCTTATAAGTAAGAACCAAATAATTCTAACAAAGGAGGACCTTGAAAATATTATATCACGAATAACAGGAAAGCAATGTGTCATTGACTATCTCGACCCTGAAATCGAATGCTGTGGTCAAACTCCAATATTCATGAAAATAGGTAACATCCGCATCATTGAAACACCAGGTACTCCAGGAGTTGAGTTTAAGTATAAATATTCGAACGAGTATACAAAACTATCTACTTACTATAAGCTTTGTTTGAAATATGTTTTAGTAAATTAAAGCAGTCAGTCAGTCAAAAAAATTCAAGTTAGCAATTTGTAATATCTATCCAAAACTTCTTCAACAGTATCGAACTCATCTTCATAATGCAAACCTAATCTTATTGACTTGGTGCAATTTTCACTAACACAATATAGCGCTTTGCGCTCGGCGCCTTTGACGCCTTTTTCTGTTCTCTTGACTGACATAACTAACTCATTTGTTTCATCAAACAGCAACAACCAAAGTTCATGACCTAATACATAACATTCATACTTTATATTTTTAGCTCTGAGTTCTCTTGTAAGCCGTTGCATTTAATATTTTCTAAAAAGTCAACTTCAACAGTCATTCGCACTGGTGCCTTCAGTACTACGGGCTCGCCTTGAAAGTCAACTAGTCTGAATTGCATGTCTTTCAAATTATGAGGACTAATGCGAACCCATTTACCTAAATGAGTTACTATGACAGGAACGTTTGGAATGAACATTGAATTTACTTCATAACAGAAAGACTTATATTCTACTGAACCTTTACTATTAACTCCTGAAATACCTGTGACATTAGCTATTTTAGACTCAATGTACAAACAATTGCCATAACATACGTATGGAACGGATTTCATCTCAATCGTTTTGTCAACACTTTTCAAAGGAAATGTCATATGGTATGCTCCCAGAAGCAATTGAACTCTATGACTCATTCGTGTTATCTTAAACTCCTTCGCATAACTGAACTTCAAAACTCCTGCAATAAGTTTAACATTCATTAAGTTTTCTTCGTTATCCTTGTTTATTGTAGTATTTATGAGAGCATTTAACACTCCAGCTAATGTTTCCATCTTATATTCTACATTATTGTGAAATCTTATTTCATGCTTCTTTCCATCTATTTCAAGCTCCATGAAATCTGTTTCGTCAGTTATAACGAATGAAGCAATAGTATTAAAGTCAACCATTCTGAAAGCAAGCGCTTCATTCTGAAGACCTATGTTTGTTTGTAGCTTTACTGTCCCGTATTCGTTTGGGTCTGTACTTTGCAAATAGAACAACATTTTATTCTCATTAAAATATGACTATTGCTGCATATGCGTATGAAACAAATGAAGCAAGAAGAGCACATGAACTAGTAAACGAAAACTCAACTTTAACCATTGAAGGCAATGATTTAGTCATTGACGATGGAAAAACTAAAAAAGTCATTGATTTCGATACTTTTAACACTTATGACCCATTCATTACAACAAGCAAGGTTCCCATCATAAATGATGGAACGGTGCAATATATAAATTCAACAGTAGATGCCTCATTAGTGAAAGTACTGAATGTTCTCATTGAATTGTTAAAGAGCTTTCAATTTGACGACAACATTAAATGCCTAAAGAATTTAGTCATGAATGAGAAACAAATTCTCGGCGTTGCTGGTAGCAGTAATGATGTACACCTTATGACATTAGAATATTATAACGAACATAAAGATGAACTGAAAGGAGAGAAGGGTGACACCGGACCTCAAGGACCACAAGGAATACAAGGAATACAAGGAATACAAGGACCTCAAGGCGAAAACGGTTTGGATGGAAAGGATGGAAAGGATGGAAAAACTGCTAAATCATGGATATGGAACCTTATAAATACTGGTTTAACAGCTGCTTCATATGGAGTTCTTCAATACCAAATCGGAAAGATATGGGCAGTACTTGGTGAAGAAGTTTTAGATGACGTTAAAAATGCTTTGAACTTCATTTCAAATGGTTCGGATACTATTAAAACTTTATCTGGTTGGATGCAAGAAACAAGGAGTCAAATAGATACTGTAAGACGTATAGCAAACAATGCACGTACGGGATTGGATACTTTACGAGAAGCACAAAATACACTAAAGGAAGCAAATGATATTCTTGGCTCAGTAGACATGCATGAAGATTGGCTTAAAGGTATTGACAAATCTTTAAAAAATCACAGTCAGTCTATTGCTGACTACAAGAAAAGTATAGATTTTTTACATAGTGCTATGGACGTACATGATGGAAGCATAAGGAACTTACTTAATGCTAACAATAACTTACCAGGAACTATTAAAGCATTTATAAAGTCCTTTGTAAAACCCGGTGCTCTAACATTTAGGTCTTTGAGAGCAAGAGCATTGAAGTCAAGAGATGCAGAAACTCCAACAGAACCTACAGAAGGAACTAAAACAAAGAAACTCCAGAAGAACCACCAAAACCAACAGCTAATGAAATATTGTTCGAATATTTTCCAAGGTACTCTGTTCTCATTGCATACATTCAAGAAATACTTAAGAAAGCAGACTTGACTTTAGGAGATGATGAAAGTTCTGTATATCTTTCGTTCCAGTTTCAAATAGCAGAACTTTTGAGACAGATATGCTTAATGTATGACAACATCTCTGATTTCACAAGATATGATGACGACCATGACCCCGAACACGGCGAAGAAGAAGTTTTACAAACATCCATTAAGACAGGAAAGGTTTTAACACAAAGTCTCATTATTGACACCAAAGATGGCGAAGTGGACGTTCTTCAAGAGCTGAAGAAAAATACTTCTTCGGGAGGTGGTGGTAGGCATGAACTTGAAATAAATGAGATAGAAGAGAAATTAGCCGAAAAAGCAGATAAAGAACATAAACACAATATCTCCGATATAAATGAACTTCAAGCTACATTAAATAGTAAAGCGGACAAAAATGAACTTGACGCAATGAACAAAGTTTTGAAATCTCATAAACACAATATCTCCGATATAAATGAACTTCAAGCTACATTAAATAGTAAAGCGGACAAGAACCATGTTCATTATATAAGTTCAGACGAACAGATTATAACGGACTATCATGGATATTTAACACAGGGTGAAAAAGTGAAGACGAAAAATGTTAATGAAAGAAGATATAAATTCATTCGTGCTAAAGGTTATGACATACACTGTACTGTACAGTATGACACAGGTATAGCACCACAAACATTTGGTTATAACGCTGAAATTTATGCTTCATACTTCTTTGTTAACGGTGTATTAGTTGAACCAAGATTTATGTTAAGAGTTAAGGCAAAAATAACTTTTGAAGATGCTATTAAAAGTAAAGCTGACAAAAATGAACTTGACGCAATGAACAAAGTTTTGAAATCTCATAAACACAATATCTACGATATAAATGAACTTCAAACTTCTTTAGACAGTAAAGCAGACAAAAACCATACACATGAATCCTTCACTACTGTTAGAGCTGATGACATAATACTGAACTTTGACCTTGGTTCAAGTGCACCTTTAGAGAATCCAAGTACAAGCGTAAAAGACACGCTTAACAGTTTAGATAACAGTTGCAGGAACATTGAAGGTCATGCCAGAAACTTTGAAGCACATGAACTACCAGCAATGTTAGATAAGAAAGCCGACAAAACTTATGTAGATGAAAATTATGCAAAGAAGTCGGAAGTAAATGATAAAATTAATGGAAAAGCTGATAAAGAGCATGTGCATGAAGAATTTCAAACAATCAGGATTAAAGAAATTAATGCATACATTGAAGAAGTAACAAAAACAGGAAGAGACGGTGCAACTGTACAAGAACAAAGAATTTATCCTCCTACTTTTCCTAATGGTTTAATAACAAACAATATAAATATTGTAGACGGCGATGGCTTTATAAATGTTAAACATGAACTTCAAACAATGAAGACTCAGATTCTTGAAACCATATATCCTATAGGCTCTATTTATACGTCAATGAATTCAACAAATCCGGCAAGTGTTTTAGGTTTTGGTACGTGGGAACAGATTGTAGATAAATTCCTCTATTGTGCGAACTCTTCAAAGCAAACAGGTGGTTCGAAGAAAATTAAAGAAGCAAACCTTCCACCGCACACTCATACAGGAACTACAAACTTTTCTGGCGACCATAGCCACTCATTAAGAGACCACCCATTATACAACTCAGAATATGAAGCTGGCAATGACGTTTTATCTCCATCTTATAACAATGCAGCAAAAAAGATTTTTCGACCAACTGAACCAGGAGGAAATCATTCACACACTTTCACAACAAATCCAACAGGCTCGGGTGCAGATTATATGCCACCATTTGTGACTGTATTCGCATGGTACCGCGTTCAATGAACGCGCTTGAGCCTAGACCCTTTGGGTCAAGGCTTACCGTGTTCAATGAAATCTTTAACTTTACATAAATGAGCTTGAAAGAAGTATTCGAACAACATCCATGGAGGTCATTTAAGAAATTCAATGAAGCTGCAAAGAGTTGGGGATTTACTAACAGAGCTGAAGTTAAAAAGTTCTTTGACAAAAATGTTGTACATCAAACAAAAATAAACCCTTACGACTACTTTTTACCAATTTACTCCAACACTCCCGACGCATACCAATTTGACACTCTCATTCAAAGCAGAAAAGGAGGACATAAACCATTCCTCATCTTCATAAATGTTAACACTCGCAAAGCTTTTGCGTATATAATGAGAAATAAAGGAACTCGTGAAGTGTTAAGAGTTTTACAAAAGTTTGTAGCAGAACATAACCCAAGTACTTTAACATCAGACCAGGATTCAGCATACCTCAGCAACGAAATCACAGAATTTCTCATTAAGCATAACATAACTCACTACACTACTGAAGACCATAACCATAACATACTCGGTATCATTAACCGCTTCATAAGAACGCTCAGAGATTTAAACCAAGAGCGAGATTTTACCGAAGAAACAATGAAACATTTTCTCGAAGTATATAATTCCTCAACACATTCTACAACAGGACATACACCAAATTCAATGACACAACAACAAGAAGAAAAGTATATACAAAAGAAACGAAGCCAAACACAAAATATCAGAAATTCAAAACAATTTACACTCATTCCTGGTACAAAAGTTCGTGTAGTTCTTGACGACAAACCGTTGACAAAGAAACGTTTAAGGTTAAGTCGAAATTATTATATCGTAGACTCTACGCAAGGTAATGGATATCTTATAAAAGCTGCCGACGACTCTATTGCGTTTTATCCTCGTCATAAATTAGTCGAAAGTAGTAATGGCAAACTTGCTGAAACCATTGACGAAGCAAAGCGAGGAGTGGTTATTGAAATACTTGGCTATAACATAAACGATGACACTTATAAAGTAAGATATGAAGGAGGCGTTGAAGATGTTATACCATCTAAGAACTTGAGAGAATCTAAACCAACTCATCTGGGTCCATTAGAGCGGGAGTACTGGAAAGACAAAAATATGCCAGAAAGAATAAGAAAATTATTCTAAACTTTTTCGTTGGATGTAAATCAGACATGAATGAGAACAATCATGAAATTATTAATGGTACCATGAATTTTAACATAAAGACGCAAAGCGGCGGGGCATAGCCCATGAACAAAAATAATTTTTAGGGTAGATGGGTATATCTAACCTCATTTCTACCCTCATGAATTTTCATGAATTTCCTTAAGATAGAAAAAATAAAGTTAGTTTTATTTTTATTTATTTTTTTATTTTGTATGTAAGAACAGAAATGTCAGTCGAAGCAAAAACATTCACTAACAAATATAATGGCGAAACATTCACAAAAGGCACTTATAATGGTATTGAAGTCTTACGTAGAGACAAGGATGGTTACATTAATGCAACAAATATGTGTCAGCAGTTTAGGAAAGACTTTAGAAAGTTGTTGGAAAATAAGTCCTGGGAAGAGTATTATAAGGCATTTTGTGAAGAATATAGCAACAGTCCGAATTCCGGCGGTTGCTTTTTATACAAAATTCATGCAGGAATTCCTGATGAAATCAAACAGGTTAGAGGAACGTATGTAGACCCAAGACTTATAAACTATATAGCAATGTGGGCTTCTCCAAAATATTGCATAGCAGTTGGAAAAATTATGGACTCCATAGACAAGAAAGTTCATGAGAAGTTAGATGAAGAAGAACTCGAAGATACAGTAGAGAATGCTAAACCTTTGTTTGAAGAAGAAGTTAGAAAAATGTGCGAAAAACAATTAGAACATGAACGTGAGATATGTTATGGTTATAGAGATTCTCCATACGAACTAGACCAATGGGAACAAGAAGATTTAAAGAGAGAATTTAGAGAATATGAACTCGCTAAGATAGCATTAGAAACTGCAGAAAAGAAGTTAAAAGTTTGGGGTCGTTTTGTACAAAAATATTGTAGGTAAATGAACTCATTATTTTTGCTGAATTCGTGAGATTCTGAGTAAAATGGCATATGGCATGTGTCAAACCGTTGAGTTTTCACAAAATTCCAAAAATAACGTTTACCATGTAAAACGATTATAAATAATGAGGGTAGAATTCGTGGTAGAAATTAGGTTAGATATACCCATCTACCCTAAAAATTATTTTTGCTGAATTCAGCACAAAATTCTGAGTAAAATGACATATGGCACGTGTCAAACCGTTGAGTTTTCACACATTTTAAAAATTGCTGCGGAAAGTTCGTCAAAAAAGTGAAGGTTCCCGACGGTTTCAAACCGCCATACTTTACATGAAGATAGTTTACAATGTCAACTAAATATCATGTACGATAGAAACGGTTATGTAAAGTTTACATTTTGTAAAGTTTTGTCCTGATTCAAGACAAGTCTTGTATTTTTTCAGAACAAGTCTTGTATTTTTGTCATAAGACGAAATGGTGGAAGTGAGGTGAAGTCAAAAAGTGACATATATTTGGCCGGCTAAATTCCCCTTTAGTTTACATGTCAAAATTACAATAAATTAATTATTTTGCTTAGCAATTAGCTATGTATTAAAACTAAAATTATTACTATTCAATTCTTTACATTATAGATACAAGGTGATGTGAATTTTGCATCCCTGGGATAGACGATACACCCAAAGTGTCACCTTTTTGGGATAACAAAAATTTATATATATGAGAGTTCTGCAAATCATATGCACAATATCTATTCTGCCTGACTTCTTGTATATAGGAGTCAGGCTGAATAGATATTGTGCATGTGGCAATATAAGTATTTCCGAGATTGCCATCGTGCGCTATAGTACACTACTTCTCCTTGGTCCTAGCTCGGTTCCAAGGATATCGGTGTTCAAGGATTTGGCAAGGTCCTTCTGAAGTCTCTCATTCGATGAGAGATTTCGGAAGAACCTTGCCTTAGAGTATTCCAACTCTTGTTCTCTTGTCCCTGAATAGTCAGAAAAGCTATTTGACTACTTAAGACAGAGATTATCCGAGGTCCCTCATTTGATGAGAGGCCTCGGATAATCTCTGCCTTAAAGTTGTACACTTGTAGTCCATCAGAATGTAAGTATACACGGATAGGACAGCTTTCTTCTGAAGTCTTAGATTTGATGAGAAGCCTCAGAAGAAAACTGTCCTATTTTATAATAGGAGGAGTTTCAGAAGCTCCAGAGCTCCCTTTCGTAAGGAATAGGAGCTTTGGAGCTCCTGGTTCGAAGATGTGCTTCGCATCTTTCATCAGCATAGGATATTTATCAACTGGGACTCTGTTGATGAAGACTCAGGAGCTCCAAAGCTCCCTTTCGTAAGGATTAGGAGCTTTGGAGCTCCTGGTTCGTAGATGGGCTTCGCATCTTTCATCAAAAGAGGCCCAAATGGTAAATATCCTCTGCTGATGAGCTTCAGGAGCTCCAAGGCTCCCTCTCGTAACGATTAGGAGCTTTGTAGCTCCTGAAGGTAAGGTAGGATTGCTCTGATCTCTAATCAGTAGATGCCATGCCTCATTATGGACTCTACTGACAAGAGATCAAGAGCTCCAAGGACTCCCTTTTTAGCTAGTGGCATTCTCACCATTTAGTAGGATCGCTGATCCTACTAATGAAGTGATCACTTAATATACGTTTTGAATAAATTGAATTTTTTGACAAAAATTTAGTATTTTTTATAAACATCACATATATATTATAAATACGTAAATATATTCTTTAATTCAAAAAATTCAATTCGATTTCGGGCTGGGTATCCCAGCCCCAAGTATTCAATTTTATTCAATTTTTTTAGAATTTTGGGTTGGGGGGCCCAGACCAAAACAAACTTTATATTTTGATGTGTAGATGCGTATGTGTACATCATTATTGCGTTATATATTATATTTTTAATGAAAAAAATCTGATTCAAAAAAAATTATCACTAATTAGTTGATAATATAAAGAAAAAATATATAAATTGTATGTTTTGAGAGTATTTATCCACATTCACTCATATGAATTTCATTAAATAGTGTCTTTTTACTCCAAAATTTATTTTGAATTATTGAAATCAAAGAAAAAAAAACTAGAAAAATTTCTCGAAATTTTTATTTTTAAAAAAATTTTGGATTTTATATTAAAAACTGACACTGGGAGGACGATAGGGCTGGGATTAGAGATACCCCGCTCACTTGGGAAAAATACGGATCTATACTTTACATTCAAATATTAAACAATTCAAATTTAATAACAAAGATATTACAATAAATAAAAAAATGATTAAAAATGTCCCTGAAAATTTTCTGAAAGCTATCTCGTGTTTAGGTCTCAATTTTTTTAGAAATAGAAAAAGATTGGATTTAACTTTCAAACATTATATATAGTTTTGTATATGGAAGCCTTTAAATACAAGTTAATGATATGGAGTTGTATTGCGAGGAAGAGGGAATCAAAGAAATTGACGAAGTTCCAGAATTTTATTCAACAATTCTTAATCAATTAACAAAAACTATACCGAAACTTATCTTACCATCCAAATCAAATCACATTACATACGGAATAAACATTTAATCTTTTACCATTAAAATTATATTTATACGTTATTTAATTTTTTTACGTCTAAGTTGAATAGGATAATAGCCGAAGATATAAAGTAACTATAGTTTACAAGCTAATGAACAAATCAGCATTGAAACTAAAAATGCTGAAATATTATAATAAATTGAAGAAATACTGTGATAGAATACCTAGTTATACTAGATACTATTATAATATGAATTCATTTGTATTGAATATCGATAATAAAAAATCGATGAAATATTAAAATGAGAATAAATTAATAATGAGATTATAAATTAGAATTATTTCTCTTTTATTTAAAATAAAAACTTAGTTCTATTTAAATTCGATAAAGAAGTACGAAAAAGTTGTATTATACGTATGATGTTGCCCGATGTTTGGTAACACTATTGTAGAATATAAGCATATATGATAGAAAAGCAATATGCTTAATATCGAGTAATTCTAATTTTTTACGAAATTATTCAAATACGTTATTTTTTAAAATGAAAAGATAAGCATACCATTATGCAGTAGTTTGCGCACATATACTATGCTGATGAAAGTTGGTCTCTAATTCGAAACTTGAGTCTGTCAAATTGACGTTCAAGTATTAAAAAGTTGTATTATACGTATGATGTTGCCCGATGTTTGGTAACACTATTGTAGAATATAAGCATATATGATAGAAAAGCAATATGCTTAATATCGAGTAATTCTAATTTTTTACGAAATTATTCAAATACGTTATTTTTTAAAATGAAAAGATAAGCATACCATTATGCAGTAGTTTGCGCACATATACTATGCTGATGAAAGTTGGTCTCTAATTCGAAACTTGAGTCTGTCAAATTGACGTTCAAGTATTAAAAAGTTGTATTATACGTATGATGTTGCCCGATGTTTGGTAACACTATTGTAGAATATAAGCATATATGATAGAAAAGCAATATGCTTAATATCGAGTAATTCTAATTTTTTACGAAATTATTCAAATACGTTATTTTTTAAAATGAAAAGATAAGCATACCATTATGCAGTAGTTTGCGCACATATACTATGCTGATGAAAGTTGGTCTCTAATTCGAAACTTGAGTCTGTCAAATTGACGTTCAAGTATTAAAAAGTTGTATTATACGTATGATGTTGCCCGATGTTTGGTAACACTATTGTAGAATATAAGCATATATGATAGAAAAGCAATATGCTTAATATCGAGTAATTCTAATTTTTTACGAAATTATTCAAATACGTTATTTTTTAAAATGAAAAGATAAGCATACCATTATGCAGTAGTTTGCGCACATATACTATGCTGATGAAAGTTGGTCTCTAATTCGAAACTTGAGTCTGTCAAATTGACGTTCAAGTATTAAAAAGTTGTATTATACGTATGATGTTGCCCGATGTTTGGTAACACTATTGTAGAATATAAGCATATATGATAGAAAAGCAATATGCTTAATATCGAGTAATTCTAATTTTTTACGAAATTATTCAAATACGTTATTTTTTAGTTTCAATGCTGATTTGTTCATTAGCTTGTAAACTATAGTTACTTTATATCTTCGGCTATTATCCTATTCAACTTAGACGTAAAAAAATTAAATAACATATAAATATAATTTTAATGGTAAAAGATTAAATGTTTATTCCGTATGTAATGTGATTTGATTTGGATTGTGTTGTAAACAGAAATTCATCAAAAGTGACACCTCAGAAAAGCTAAAATATTGAATTTTTGGAACTTTTGATAGAGCACGTTTTTAAATATTAATTAAAGTAAATGTATATTTTGTAAAGATTCTTTTTAATAAAAATAAAATTTTGAAGAAGAACACAAAATCTTCTGAAAAATAATATCACATAAACTCATATTATTTTCTAATATATAACTATTTTTCTATAAAAATCAAATTCAATGATCTTAAAAGCGAAGGATAAACCTCAAAATTTACGAATATAATGAGTGGGAATATAATGCTTATCTATCATAAAACCATATGAAATATCAATTTTTGCTTTACGCCTATTCCCACTCATTATATTCGTAAATTTTGAGGTTTATCCTTCGCTTTTAAGATCATTGAATTTGATTTTTATATAAAATAGTTATATATTAGAAAATAATATGAGTTTATGTGATATTATTTTTCAGAAGATTTCATTCTATATGCCTATGAAAAGTACTCTCAAAACTAACTTTTTCCTAATTATAATTAAATCTAGAATATTGTATTATGCTTAGTATTATTTCATTTTTCTCATTCAATTTAGAATTTACAAATGTCAAAAAATTGAGAGCTGTCACTTTTGATGAATTTCTGTTTATTACAATGGTAAGATAAGTTTCGGTATAGTTTTTGTTAATTGATTAAGAATTGTTGAATAAAATTCTGGAACTTCGTCAATTTCTTTGATTCCTTCTTGAAGCGTTGAAATTTCTTATTGACTCTCTTTTTATAACTTTTGAAAGAAACCGTAAAAATTGTGAAACATGCTTTTTAATAAAAAACAATTTTGATGAAAACCATAAATTAATTTAAAATTAAAATAAATTTTTGAAATCTATGATATTGAATAAAAAAATTTATAGTGTAGATATTGATATAGATATAGATGTTAATTTTAATATGATATTAAAAAAAAAAAAAAGGTAGTGGGGCCTCCAGGCACTTCGTGCCCTCTAGCCCTGAAGATGTTTAGTATAACTTTGTCCGGACAAGTAAGGGTCTATCGTCGCTACAGGAAAAGTTACAGGCGTTCCAAGGAAGTATACTTTGAGAAGCCTTTTCTCCATTTTAAAACAAGATAGGACGGTTATTTTACAAAACTGACAACACTTTGACCGAGTAGTTTTTTATTCTGAACAAAAAGTGTCATATAAACATCTGTCAAAAACCACTTTTTAACTTCACTTAAAATGCCACGTAAGCTACGTAAGAATATACGTAAGAGGAAGAGAGCATTGAAACATCCAATAGTAAAACTGACACCACAACAACAGTTGCAACAACAAATGATGAATGACCCCACTATGTTGCAACAAATGTCAAGCAATCCTATGCTTTTAAACCGAGTTTTTGGTGCACAGAGTGGAGGTTTAAGAGCGGCACTTTTAGCGAAAATGGCAGGCTATGGTGGAGCTGCAGACGGAACAGCTTATAACCCTCAAAGTCAAATGAATTTGAGTTCACTCAAAAATCAAATAGCAGATGTCAAAAAGTCAAACATACATACATAACAGAAACAAATAGGTGAAAACGAAAAGAAACTAGAATATGACAGACACACAAAGAAACTCAATGAGTTAAACGTAGAGAAAAAGAAGAAAGAAGAACAACTGAAAGAACTAAGTACAGAGGAATATGCGAAAAAAGTGTCAGAAAAAGCAGCAGAAGTAGCAAAAATGGAACAAGATGTTTTAAATTTGAAAAACCATACTACTCAATATAAAGTACTGAAAGATGAAGAGATAAAACAAAAAGCCCTGAAGACATATATGGATAGCGATGAGTATAAAAAGAAGTTGAAGCAAATGTAAAGGCAGAAAAACTTTTACAGTTGCAAAACCAAACCGTACAGTATGAAAACTTAGCACAAGAAAGTAAAAATAACGACGCAGCCATGCAAAAGGCAATGAAAAGCGCAGAATATATAAAAGCTAACAATGACTGGTTAGATGCCCAAGCCAACGCCAAAGCAGCCCAACTTATAGGGTCAATAAGGACAAAAATACAAGCGGATGAAGACAGTTCAAATGAAGCTTTAATGAATGCTGACTTTAAGAACGCCTTCGAAGCTCTTCATAGTAAGGTGAAACTAGTGAACGACTTCTCATCTGGAAAGAAACTGAAGTCTGAAGGTTTCGACAAAGAGTTAAGAGAAGTAGCACAAAATATGACGAAAATAACAGATGCAGCAACGAGACAGGCAGTTCAAAGTGCCTATGACGCCGTTAGAGCAACTGTTGTGGAAAGTCAAGAAAAAGAGTTACAACAGACCAAAACAGACCTAGTAAATGCTTTCTTAAAAACGAAAAGTCAGGTAGGACATTATGCTGCAGATGGAACATATGTGCCAGCTGGTGGAACTTATATACCACCAAACCCTCCAAGAGAAGCACCTGCACCAGGACTACCTAAAACATTTACATCGTCACATGGACACAGACACAGGCATGCACCAAAACAACAACCAAAACCAACAGTTCAAAATCCAGCACAACAACAACCTCCACAACCAGCACAGCAACCACCTCCACAACCAGCACCACAACAACAACCACCTCCACAACCAGCACAGCAACCAACAGTTCAAAACCCTGCACAACAACAACAACAAACAGAGCAAGGACATAAAAGAAGTAGAGAACAAGGAAACCAAGAATTCTTAAAAATGCTTAAAGAAGACTATGGTTACCCAGATACTCTTGACTTTAGTGACAGATATAAAGAAGCTATTCGAAAATTCAAGGAAGGAAATACTGACCCGAACCTATTTAGCTTTATGGTTCAGCACCAAATGGGATATAATTTCAAACCTGGAAAATACAAGCTCGCTAAGGGATATGATTTAATAGCATATCATCCAAATGACATGAACGAATTTACTCCGAGATATTTGGTGTCAGAGCTAAATGACAATTCAACTCTCTTCATGAAACGCGTAAAAAATAGAGACGGAACGAAAGAAGAAAGGTTTATGAGTCCGGATGACTTAGATAGGGAACTTTTTAAAAACGGTCTCGGAATATATGAAATGCCAGCAGATGAGGTACAAGAAACTCCACAGGAAGAAGTTCAGATACAACCAGACATGGAAGAAATAGTTCAGCAACAACAGCTAGAAGAGCCTGAAGGAAACGAACAAGTCCCTCCTTTGGAAACTAACTTCACAGAACTAGATGAAGATTTGGAACAGCCGAAAAATCTTGACCCTCAACAAGAGTATGAGGTGAATATGGAATCTTTCCAAGAGTCTAAGAAAAATTCGGCTGACATGGTAGAAGAATATCGAAAAATGTTTGCCGACATACAAAAGACTCCAACACCAGATGAAAATATTCAGCATAGAATGGAAGTACTGAAAGAAAATGTACACAAATACAACAACCCTTTTTACTTACGACCATATAACGTTCAATCTTTGGCTGAACTCGGTGAAAATAAAAGGTTAAATTTCAACAAAACATATAGAAATGAAACATTGTTTAAAGTTCATTCAGAACCTAACCAATATGGAAACAAACCTACTTTTGTTTCTGCAGACTATGGAACTACAATGAGATGGGGTCATAAAGCAAATCCGGATAGGTGGTTCATAAACTTACAACCACAATTCCAAGAAGTTGTAGACGCAATGGAAGTGAATGGTGAACCAGATTTAGCTGGTATTTTCAGCGCGGCTTTAATGCCATTGAAAGATATGAAAGATGCAGATATTTTGGACCAGTATGAAATGAACATGGCTGATGGAAATATAACACCTGACGTTCTAGAACATTTATCTCAAAGAACTACACAGAACCATAAAGATGGTATATTTGGTGAAGAGTTTAGAAAGAAAGTTAGGGAGAGAGAAGGAAGAGAACCTATTGTACATGACCTTGCAAACGAAAGTTTACAAAATGTCATAAAAACTTACTTTGCAGACAATGAACCGAGAAGGGATGAATATTTAAGAAAACTCAAATGGACAGTACCAAATGAAATGTTAGTATTGAAAAACATGTTCCTTGACAAAATAAAACCAACTACAGAAATAAATGACGCAAGACTGAAACATTGGGTAAAAGCTTTCCCATTCACAAAAGATATTGTTGGTAACATGGAAAGAAAACCAGAATGGCTACAAAAACATATATTTGGAAACGAGCTTATTCCATATGGACAAGCTCTGTTTGAAGAGCTTGAACCGGAAACTCAGGAAAGAGTCATGCAAACAATACGCGAAGACTCAAATACAAACTATGACAAAATCTTTCTAGGATATAGGTTACCTGAGATGGGCGACCAGAGCCCAAAGGCAAAAAGGACATGGGAAATTTACAACATACTAGGTGAACATGAGGCAAAGATGCAACAACTTGAAGCAGAGGGCAAGTTACCAAAAGCGACACCAAAGAAGAAGAGTAGAACAAAGTGAAAATAGTGAAGAAGTAACTTCATCTAGTGAAAGTAGTGGCAATGAAGGAAAGAGAAGAGTTAAAAACTCAGTCAGGAAGAAAGTAAAGCTTGGTCCGAGTGGGTTCTATTATGACATATAAATCCAACTATTCTATATTTTTACCCATATGAAATGTACGCCGCTCAGAATATAACGCCAACAGTTTTGGATGCCATGAACGGAAATGTTTCCGAATGGTATAACGAATGCGACAATGCCATTAGAAGGTCAGAAATAGTTCCTGGAACTTACGAATATACAACTGCTGTTTCTTATGGAAACGTAGGTGAGTTTGGAGAAGGTTCTTCAACAACAGTAGATATTGCTTGCGACAGGTTTCACATTATTTCTATTGACAACTCATTCTTATACGTGGAACAAGACATTGAAATAAAACCTTCTGCCAAGTTGTCTGACAAGAAAGGTTGCAATGGAATTTTCTATGTCGGATACCAATATGCTCCAGAAGTTTTCATGGGATATAAGATATATTCTAACTCTGACTTAGTTCAAACAGTAACATGGGCAAACTATGAATGGTTCGCTTTGAGAAACTCAGTACAACCACAAGCTAGAGAACAAACAGACCAGTATGCAACTATTGAGAAAATAAGAAGACTTGACCCTAACGTTCCAGGAGTTTATGTTAACCTTTCTGGTTCAGATGGAAATGCTGTCACTAAAGTAAAACTGAAACTTAGAGTTCCTTTGTCATCTTTCCTCATCTTCAGGTTTTTAAGATACTTGCCAAACTGGGCAGGAAAAATTTCTATTGAACTTACTCCAAGCAAAAATAACTTAGTCATTGCACCAACACAAGACCCATTCACTCTTACAGAAGTAGTGGGAACAAATAAAACGTCATTCGCCGACTTTTGCAAAGACAAAGTTGACTTAGACTTTGGTTTCTCAAACCTCAACACTGAAGTAAACTATTATTTCAATGCTGCTGGAAATGCTTGGGACCCAGTTAAGTTCACATGCGAAAAATTTGAATGCAAGAGAATAGAAAGCAGACTTGCAGTCTATATGTTGGACCCAGATATTTCAAATGCTTTAGCTGCCAAATATATTGCAGTTCCACTTATGTTCCCTATACACCAAATATCTGTCAAAGACTTTGCAGGTGAAGTTGGAAACCAAAGTGCTGACCCAGGTGCAAGAACAGATATTGCTTTAACAACTGCAATGAAACATGCAGATACTATGTTTGTACTGTTCAGACGAACTATAAATGACTATTCTTGTTTCTACAACCCCGGTATTAAATATCATATAAACATAGATGGCAAATATTATCCAAGAGAAGAATATTCTACAGTTGAGGATATGAGGTCATACAACTTGACATTAGATGCTATGAACTTTAACAACAACTTCACAACAACCATTAACCCTGAAATGCAAAGTTCTATTATGCCATATGTGAAAGTATGGACTCATACAGGAGGTCAAAAAACTCAATATACAAATGGAGACCGTTCAAACTTTTGGCTTGGCATTCCATTTGCTGACTCAGAAGACTTTATGGGTGGTATTTCAACTGTTGGTACTGTACAAATACAATATACTGGTGACAGAGACGGTCCAGATGAATTGAAAGCAAAGAAGTTTACAAAACCAATAGCACTTTTCACGGAAGATGCTCTTTTGAAGATTCGTTCGATGAAACCTGCTGGGGCTCCTCAGATTGGCATAACGACAGCTTCCATCGAGCAGATTTTGGCAGCAGGTCAGTAAGTTGTTCTTGAACTGACTTCTCTCCGTCAAATATTGACAGTACGCCAGTTTTGACATAATATTGTATTATAAACTTACCTTTAGAAATATCTGTAAGTTTTGAAGTTATATTTTTGTCTGCTTCAAGAACTTTCACCATTTCAGTTATACCAACTTTCTTTGCTTTATGAAAATATTTTGGTTCAGCAAAGATTGCTATTCTATAACATTTTCCATTGTTTGTGTAAAGAACTATTCTGTCAATGTATTTGTATTGTTTGTGTGTGTAAACTTTGTTCTGCTTCAATTCGAAGAGATACTCGAATACGTCCATCTTTTTATTCTAAGTAAAATGTCATTTCCGAAAAATAGAAGCGTAAGTGTTTCAAAAGGTTTAATGGCGGTGGCAGATGTGAAGTTAAATTCACCAACTCAAACAAACAGTCAAAGTGTTATTGTCAATGTCAAAGACAGAGATGTTGAAGTGGGGAAACCATACGAGACGAAGATGGTATAACAATTGTTCCTGTAAAAGAACAACCAACATATCCTGAAGTTAGCAGAGACTTAAGTTCTGTTGCAGATATTCGAAACGACTACCAACAACTGAAAGACAAACTTCAAACTCAGGAGAAGATTTGTCAAGCTTTAGTATAATGTTAAACTTGGTCGAACACAACCCTGTAAAAGTGAACTCATATGTCATGCACCTCATGAAGTTTTGAAAGAACTATTGAAACTTTTGACAGAGGCAGACGATATAAACATCAAAGAAATAGAACCCGACGTTAGTTGCTGTGGTGTTTCATATAATGTCATTGACAAGATATACGTTATGAAAGGAGGTGAAACGTTGAACTTAAAGTATAGTTTCCCAGACGTATAAAAATATTTGACGACCACAACATTTCATTAAAATTTATTTGCTAAGTAAATGGCAGAAGACATAATGGTTTATACTATTACGACTAAAAACCCTGAGTCATATAATTCTATAACAACAAACTTACAAAGTCCTCAAGGACGATATTGTAAACTAACCTTAAACACAATGACGACTAAAGCTTGTTTTGCTCTTTTGACACCAGAAGATTTTATTGTTGTGAATGGTAAAAAATACTCCTTTGAAGATACTTACTCAGATATACCACCAACAGGTTTTGTTGACTTATTTAATACTTTAAGTACGGGTGTAACATGTGCTGCAACTAGAGCAGGTTTCATTATGTTTGGATGTCCGACTGAGTTTACTATAAACAATATGAGCTATAATACAAAACTTATATCTGGTTTTTACTACCAACAATTTCCTATAACAGGAAAAGGTGTCATACAAGGTTTGTCTGTTCCATTGACTTTAAGTACACCTATTTTATATATTGTTTCAAACTTAGGTTCAAAGTGTTATTCGAATGTCGACAGAAACTACTATGACCAAAAGATACTTATGCGTATAAATAACACATTCTCTGCTGGTTTGCCTATTGTTCATTCGAATGCAGAGTTTTCAGCTTTAGTAAACTCAAACACTTTAGCAAACATAAACTTAACCTTAGTTGACGCAAACTTTGTTCCTGTAAAACTTTTATGTCCTATGTATTTGTCAATGACGGCAGAAAGTTTCGAATTGGAAGATGCAACTGGTGAAAGTATTGTATTACAAGAACAACTTCAACAACAAATAGCTCAAGAACAACAAATGCAACAAATAGCTCAAGAACAACAAGTCAAGAATAAAAAAAATATTTTTTTTATTTTTATAAAATGTACAGAATAGATGTTTCAGATTTTTATGACTTCCAAACATTCAGAAATATGTGTCCATTTCGAGACTATAACAAAGCAGTCGAGAATTTGAACGTTTAGTCATTTATGTCGACTCTGCCCCAGAATGTTATGTTATGAAAGAATGGGATGTTGTCTTTAACAAACAAGAGCAACAATAGTTTCAGAACAAGAATGTAGACAGAAACTTAAGAAAATAAAAGTTGTACAAGTTGGCATGAAGATGTTAGATGCTTGGGATATCTTATTGTCAAAGTTAGAAGATTTTTCAGTTCGAGGTATAAAGTTCTATACACCTTCTCCAAACTTCTATTCTATCTTCACTGGATATAAATACGAACAAGTAGAATGGAAAGAAATATTATAGAAGCTTGGTTAGACCATGTCAAAGAAATTATATGCAATGGAAACGAAAGAGTCTATGAGTATATCTTATGTTGGTTTGCAAACATCTTACAACATCCAAGTGCTAAAAATGAAACTGCTCTCATTATAATTGGAAAACAAGGAACAGGTAAGAACACATTCTTTACAGATATCTTATGCAAACTGTTAGAGGGCTATTCGAACCCTAATATGACAAACTTAGAAAACATCTGCGGTAAATTTAACTCTTCAATAGAGAATATGAAACTTATAGTATGTAACGAACTTCAAAGTATAGATACAACAAAAGTTTTGAACTCAGATGCTTTGAAGAGTCTTATAACAGACAAAGTTGGAGTTGTTGAAAGAAAATATAAAGACCAAAGAGTTTGTGAAAATGTTGCAAACTTCGTTATGGTTTCAAACAATGCTGTTCCGATGAAGTTAGAAAGTTCTGACAGAAGATATGTAGTTGTCAGAACGTCAGAAGCTCATATGCAAGATACAGAATATTTTGACGACTTAGCAGAAACTTTGACATCTGACTTTTACAACCACTTGTTCTCATATTTTATGACATTAGATATTTCAAAGTTCAATCCAAGACAAATTCCACATACCGAAGAGAGACAAACATTGTTAGAAGCAAACAAGAGTGTATATGAACTGTTCATAGATGAAACTGACTTTGAGTGTTTAGATGAAAGGTCATTGTACGATTCGTATAAACAATATTGTCAAGAATATGGTTATATGACAGCTTCTAAACGAACATTCTTGGCAAATGTCAAAAGTCTTTTAGACGTACAGAATGGTGTATATACAAAGAAAAATTTTTATGAGTAAATTTAAAAAAAAATATTTTTTTATCCGATAGAAAAGATGACAGAAAAATTAACTTTTTACATAGCGCCAGACCCTTCTTGCCCACATCTTTTTAAGCCACAATATATAGACATAGAACTAAATAGAGAAAGCGAAATTCCACAAACAGAAGAAAGCGAAATTCTACAAACAGAAGAAACATATAGAGACCTAGATAACGAAAATGGATATGCGCTATTCTGGTTAGATTGTCCTTATGAAATGTATGAAAAAAGGCTTTATATGAAGAATATAGAAAATATTGTCATGAAAACGATATAAGACCAAGCTCTAGAGAAAAATTCTATGCTGGTATAAAACATCTTTTCGAAGTTCGGAATGGCAAATATTAAAGAAATAATTTTTCTGAGTAAATTTTAAAAAAAAATATTTTTTTATCCGATAGAAAAGATGACGAAATTCATCTCAGTAAACAAGTACATGTCAGGACTTAAAGAAGAACTAGACCCATTCACATATTTGAATGTTTACTTCTACCATTTTGAAAAGTCTTCATTCAGCAAAGTTTGGAACATCGAACCAGTTAAGTTTGCTATTGTGACTAAAAATGGTGCGAAATTTGAAGACTTAGACATAGAAGGTTTGTTAGCAGTCAAAGAAAGTTTTGACAGAAGGTTCTCAAACCTTAAAGAAGGCAAAGCATACAAACTTGTTATACCTTATGAACCAAAGAAAGCAGACGACTATGAATATTATGAGTCTAAAGTTGTAGAAGTTCAAGGTAAATTGGGTAAAAAGATTTTAGAGTCTAAGCCAGTGTTTACTCCTAAAGAGGAAGAGAACATTGACATTGACCCAGAAATGTTCTAAAAATAAAATTTTATTTTTACATGTCATATCTCCCCTTCTCTGGAACTGGTTCTTTCTTCTCTTCTTCTACTTTCTTTTCTTTCTTTTCTTTCTTCTTCTTTTCTGGTGGAGTTATGTCAAATTTCTCCGAACCATATTTATGTAAAAGTTCTTTGTCCTTTAATAGCTCATCTATTCTGTTTTCTATTTCATCTTCAAGAACAGCGCATGTGTCTTCTTTGCATTCTAAGAACTTTTGTTGGACTTCATCTTTCCAATCGGTGTCATCTCTGTCAACAAGTCTGTCATTGACAAATTTTAAGACTGCTCTGCTTAATGTTTTATGGTTCTTGTCATATTCCAGAAACAGAACTTTAGAACAAATTCACCTTTCTTGTTTACACTATGTAAGATTTTATGGTCGACAGATGTTTTGCTGTCGAAAAGCTTGTCTCGAATATAGATAGCGAAATCGAAGACATTTTCTAAAAGATAAAAATTTTAATTTTTCTAAAAATATGTTAGAAAAAAAGTTTGCTGACATTGACAAGAAATTTGAGAATGTTTTAAACAAGAACAAGGTGAAATTAGAAAATGCTCAGATAAAACCCATACATGACAAGTTCTTATTTGCTCAGAATGGTATAACAGGTCTAATTGCACCACCTGGGTCGGGTAAGACTTTCACTTATCTTAAAATGGCTGCACAACAACAAGAACTAGATGAAAAGAACCCATTCTATGAGTTAGTTGTTATTTGTAGTACTTCTGGTCAATTTGACCAAACCGTCAATTCGTTCAAAGATATTATAAAAAAGTCTAAGTTAGTATGTATAAAGGATACTGAGTTGTTAGATTGGATAAAGAAGTACCAAAGAAGAGTTTTGAAATATAATGCTATAAATGAGTATATAAATTCTAAGTTTAAAGACCCAAATGAGGAAATGCAGAGAATATTAGAGAAGAAACACTTCAGAAACAAACAGAAAGAGATAGAATACATTTCGAAGAAATTGCAATCTTACGATTGGAAAACGTACCCTCATAGGTGTCTTCTTATCTTAGATGATTTCGCCTCTCATCCTTTGTTAAAGAATAGAGAACAAGACATGTGTCGAATTCTTAAGAAACTTAGGCACTTTAACATTTCAGTTGTCATTTGTGTACAGACAGCCAAGAGTTTAAGTAAGGATGTAAAGAGAATACTTACTGACATAATACTTTTCCCCGGATTGTCCGAAGACGATTTCATGGAACTTATGAAAGAGTCCATGGCAGGTAAGTTTGACAGACATGAACTATGGGAGAAGTATAAAGTCATACAAGACCCTCATACTTCTTTCAGAATTCATATCTACGCAAACAAAGTTCAAATTGTAAAAAGTCAAGCGTAAAAATGTAAGTGTTTGGTCTTAGTCTGTTGTGGTGCTGGGGCTGTCGGTTCTTCTGGCTTTGGAATGGACTCGGTTGGTGGTACGTCGGACATTCGTTTGTGTCCTGTCGGAAGGAAGGACTTTTCCTGTCGGAAGGAAGGACTTTTCCTGTTGGAAGGAAGAGTTCTTCCTGTTGGAAGGAAAATTTTTTCCTGTTGGAAGGAAAATTTTTTCCTGTTGGAAGGAAAATTTTTTCCTGTTGGAAGGAAAATTTTTTCCTGAAGTTCGACCAAAAAGTTCTCAATTTTCGAAAATTTGAATGGTTTACGGACGGACAACTGGAAAAATTTTTCCTGTTGGAAGGAAGGACTTTTCCTGTCGGAAGGAAAATTTTTTCCTGTCGGAAGGAAGAACTTGGAATGCCAGAAGGAAATTTTTTTCCTGTTGGAAGGAAGGACTCGGAATGCCAGAAGGATTTGACAAGACAATTTACCTTATAGAGCTACCTGAGCCATCTGAAGTCAAGCTTGAAAAATAAATGGTTCATTTACTCTGCTTGTTTGAAGTTGTCAAAATACTCTGTTATTTTTTCTTTCAGTAGCGGTAAGTCTTCTTTGAAGGTAAGTATTGTACAACCTTTAATATCATAGTGTGTTTGAGGTAAAGTATCTTGAACTATTTGTTTCACATCTTCATTTGGTGTCATTGAAATCGGTAAGTTTTCGCGATAGAACCAATTTCTGTCAGATTTGTAAATCTTAGCAAGGTCGTAAAAGCTTTTGTTGTTTCTTCTGACTAAATGCAACATAACCATATCTTTATCTTCTTCATTTTCCATCTCTTCAGTATAAATCATATACTTATAGTTCTTTTCCTTTCCTTTTGGTACCGAACGTGGTATTCTTTTCTGTATGTTTTTGTCTTTTGCTTCAAGCTTGTTCTCTAGCTCTTCACGTTCTTGTCTATGAATTTCGTCAAGAAGTCTGTAAATATACCAAGCATAACGAGGCGAAGCCCACATTGCAACAGCATTTACAAGAAGTCTATGTACATACCAGCCTCTCAAACCATTTGGCAAATTTTCACGATTTTCATAGAGTTTTGGCGACTGGGGTTTTTTACCTACTCGCTGTTCTTCACGATTTTCATGAGTTTTAGGCGACCCCGAAAAAAGTATGTCTCGCTGTGCTTCATTTAATAGTTCAATAGTGCTTTGGTTCCTAAACCAGTCTTTAGGAAGCTTGGTATCTGGAGCAAAACATGCTGTCAAAATACTTTGCATTTGGTACATGTCGTCTTTGACCGAACGAATGAGACGTAACTGTTTGTTATACTGAACCCACTCGTATTCTTCATTTATGTCTTCATGAACGATAGCAGTTGTTGTGTTCTCGGTTGTTGACATATCTGTCTTTACATACAAAATAAAAAAATATTTTATAAAAAATTAGCGTTATTTCCTGACTTTCACAAAGACCAAAAATAAACGCTTTACATGTATTTTTCAGCAACTTCGTCAAATAATTTTATAGCACTATCTATCTCATCTACTTCAAACGTTTCTTTACCTTTCGTGGGAGCACCATACATTTTCTCAAACTTTTCAAGTAGTTCTGTTTCAGCAGCTCTCATATCATTAACAAACACAACCTTGACTCTATTGACTGTACTGTCATATCTTTGAGTTATATTATATGTTCTTCCTATCTTATATCTCTTTGTATTGAAGTCCTTCGGTTTCTGAACGATGTAAAGTAAGCCTTCACTGCAACGTTCCGTATCGAATGAACCATATGTTATGAAGTTATATCCAACAACTGGGTCTAACCATAACAAAACTATTGGTATAAGACTTTTGTCAATGAGATATGCTGTAGTTCCATAGAATCTTACCGATATCATAAGCTCAGGATTTCTTGTCAAAATTTTCTGAGTAGAAGCAGTTCTAACCCAGTCGTGGGATGTTTTCTTTCCAGATAGTGTTAGAATGTCTGACAAAGAATATTTGTTGTATTTCTTTGAGTATCTTACGTTTAAATCACCAATTCTAACCATTTTGGTGTCATTGTCTATCTTTCTAACTGTTTCAAACTCAGTGTTTGTCATTTTCTGTCTTTACATACAAAATAAAAAATATTTTTTTAAAAAAACTAACTTTATTTTTTCTATCTTGTATAAAAGATATGATTTCAGGGATTTTTTTTACGAAGTGCAAAAGTTCTCTTCGTCAAAAATAACAGTTATATAATGAAATTTGGTCATTTTTTACGATTTTCATGAGTTTTAGGCGACTGGGGTTTTGTCCCTACTCGCAATTTTTTACGATTTCAGGGATTTTTTTGACGAAGTGCAAAAGTTCTCTTCGTCAAAAAATAACAGTTATATAATGAAATTTGGTCATTTTTTACGATTTTCATGAGTTTTAGGCGACTGGGGTTTTGTCCCTACTCGCTGTTTTTTACGATTTTCATAGAGTTTTAGGCGAGTAAGATTTTCTATCTTGTATAAAAGATATGATTTCAGGGATTTTTTTTACGAAGTGCAAAAGTTCTCTTCGTCAAAAAATAACAGTTATATAATGAAATTTGGTCATTTTTTCACGATTTCAGGGATTTTTTTTACGAAGTGCAAAAGTTCTCTTCGTCAAAAAATAACAGTTATATAATGAAATTTGGTCATTTTTTCACGATTTCAGGGATTTTTTTTAAGAAGTGCAAAAGTTCTCTTCGTAAAAAAATAACAGTTATATAATGAAATTTGGTCATTTTACTCGGCAAAAATATATTTTAGGGTAGATGGTTAGATCTCACCTCTTTTCTCACCTCTTTTTTTCATGATTTCATCGTACATGCTTTGTCAAGACTTCTTCGTAAATGTTTTGTCAAGACTTCTTCGTACATGTTTTGTCAAGACTTCTTCATCGTAATGAGCGTAAATCAGACAAAAATAATGTTTAGGTGAAGAGGTGCGATCTCACCTGTTTTTTCACCTCTTGAATTTTCATGACTTCTTCGTAAATGTTTTGTCAAGACTTCTTCGTACATGTTTTGTCAAGACTTCTTCATCGTAATGAGCGTAAATCAGACAAAAATATATTTTAGGTGAAGAGGTGCGATCTCACCTGTTTTTTCACCTGTTTTTTCACCTCTTGAATTTTCATGACTTCTTCGTAAATGTTTTGTCAAGACTTCTTCGTACATGTTTTGTCAAGACTTCTTCATCGTAATGAGCGTAAATCAGACAAAAATATATTTTAGGTGAAGAGGTGAGATCTCACCTGTTTTCTCACCTCTTTTTTTATAAGCGTTTTACATGAATTGTACGATGTATATTTGAAATTCTAAACAATTTTGTGGCTTCTATTTCTTCTGTCAGTATGTCAAAAGTTTTCACAATGCCGAAAGTTTCTTTATACTTCTTCTTGACATCTGAAAGAAGGAAATCGTCAGCAGTTGGATAGTTTTTGTTTAGAAATTCTAACATGTCCATTTTATTTTCTGCTGGTTTCTCTGCTTCTTTCTTTAAGTCAGCATAGTCGTTTCGCATACGTTCTATCTCTTTGACGGAGTAGTTATATTTCCTCATTGCTGCTTTACATTTAGAACATTGTGGGTTCATTTTAGCATTGTACATTGAAATTTGTCCTGCAAGTACAACTATAGCGTCAATGGTTTTCTTTAACTCAAAAGTTGCGGGTTTTATTTGTTCATTCCATATTTTACATCTTTTATCTTTATCTCTTATCTGCCATACACATTCAGCAACTAACGAAACAAAGTTGTCGTAGGTCTTAAACTCCTCCGATTTATATATGTCAGAAATATTTTTATATACCATATCGCAGTCTTTGTCCATGACTTTGTGGTTGCAATGAAATCCAAGAAACTCATAGTTTACATTACGTATGAACTTCTTTATTTCAACTGAGTCAGTTGCTTTGACTTCTATTTCATCGAATTCAGGAATAGTAAGCTTTTGTTGTTGTATTTCAGGAAGTTTAGGTAGATGGTCAATAATATCCTGCATTTCATAAAGATATTCTTCATTTGTTTCATCTTTTGCAGTGCAATCTAAATCTCCTTGGAGAAGTTCCTGCTTTATCTTCTGGATTTCTGTTTCGAAAGTATATGAAGAAGGAATGAAGCTTTTCATCTCTACTAACATTGAAGTTGGGTTCATGACTAACGAGTTTGGTGCTGTTGTTGCTAACATGTTCTTACAATAAAAATAAAAAATATTTTTTTTTAAAAACTAACTTTATTTTTTATTTCGGGAAAATTCAACGGGTGAGAAAACAGGTGAGAAAACGGGTGAGATCTCACCTCTTCACCTAAAATATATTTTTTGGTCCGGGAACAACAAAATTCAAGAGTTTTGTGTGTTTTCTACGATGGTAGAAAAGAGGTGAGAAAACAGGTGAGAAAACGGGTGAGATCTCACCTCTTCACCTAAAATATATTTTTATTGAATTCAGAACAAAACTCAAGAATTTTGGTTGAAAGAATACGATGGAGCCAAAAGTGGCTCGACCTCAAAACAAGCATTTTGTGAAGAATATAGCAACCGCCGGAATTTCGACGGTTGCTTTTTTATACAAAATTCAACAGGTGAGAAAACAGGTGAGAAATGAGGTTAGATCTCACCACTTCACCTAAAATATATTTTTGTCTGATTTACGCTCATTACGATGAAATCATGACAAAACATATACGTTCATGTTTGACAAAACATTTACGATGAAATCATGACAAAACATATACGAAGAAGTTTATTTCCTGTGTTGTTGTCAAAATGTCATGTTGTCTCATTTTTTCAGAGAAGTTCGTTTAACCGAGGGACCTGGTGACACCTAAAAACCATCTACCCTAAAATATATTTTTGCCGAATTCAGCAACAAAATTCAACAGGTGAGAAAACAGGTGAGATCTCACCACTTCACCTAAAAGTATTTTTGTGCTATGTTTTCAGCACAAAATTCATGAAAATTCATGAGGTGAGAAAAGAGGTGAGAAAAGAGGTGAGATCTCACCACTTCACCTAAATATATTTTTTATTTCGGGAAAATTCATGAAAATTCAACGGGTGAAAAATTAGGTTAGATCTAACATGCTAACATAAACTCACTTTTTCAGCACTTTTCCGTAGTTGTATATGAAAGACAATTCGAGATAAAAGTCATAGTACAATGGTATTATATGCTGCACACCATTTGTTGTGAACCAAACTTGAAAGTCAGAGAAACTGTTACTAGGTGGTTCGTAGAATTTAGAAGCAAAGTCATAAAAGTCCTTACCGATACATAGAAAACTATTGTTGCTTGAACTGAAACTTGCATGGCACATAACATTTTGAGGGTCGAACACGTTTCTATAAACTGTCAAATCTGCTGGTGGAAGTATAAATTTAAATGGACCATCTGGTGGTAATGGTTCGTTCTGGTTTAGTAACCGAAGAAATTGTGCCCAAGAACGTTTGTCTACTTTCCAAAATAAAAACTCTGTATCTCTTGGAGGGTTAATTTCAATCTTTTGAAATGAAACGGTGGAGTTCATCTTGTCATATTCTAGTTTCAGATAGTATGTTCCATTTAGTAAAGAGTCGTATTTTTCTTGAAATTCCCAATAGTATTTGTTCATTTGAGTTTGAAAGTCATTTAGAGTTTTCTCAAGACTTTCGTCTGAACGAACTGTAAAGATTCTCATTTCATCAAATTTGTCTATTAGACCATCAGAACCTTTATACTGCCCATGAAAATATACTGCGAACATAAATGCGTTAGTTCTATTTGAAAACAAAACTCTTCTAAATCCTATTGCCTTTGCATCTGAAGGACTTTGAAGCCAACGAATTGGATAGTCAAACCTGTATACTCGGGATGAAATTTCTTCATCTGAAATAGTCCTACCAGCATTTGTAAAGATATAGTCTAACGGTTTTGTATCTGCTACTTTTGTTCTTTGTTTTTCAACCTGAAGCATTTAATATATGTAAAAATATATTGTTTTAAAATGGTATGCCATATAGCTTCTTGAATTTGTTAAGAAGTATTTGAACGTGTTTTCCATCTGTATCTCTAGTGTTTACATAAGCATAGCCCGCCTTAGTAAAATATACTTGTAATTTCCTATAGTTTACGCCGGTATAAAAGTAGAAAGAGTCTTGTTCTTCGCTATAGTAGTAAAACTCAAACGTATGCTCGCCATAGTCTGTAATTTCAATTGTTTCATCTTCTAGTTCGTCGACAAATTCGAATACAATATCTCCAAATTTGCCTTTGTTCTTATTGTTTTCAGAACGAGTGACCCAACGTAAGTTTTCAAGTCTATTGTCGTTTCTTATACGGTTTATATGGTCTACAAAAGGTAAATTGTTAGGATTCAGTATAAAATGAGTTGCAATGACAACATGTTTAAAATAGTTTTTTCCACTCATCTTCATAATAGCATATCCGTCATTTCGCTCCCATTCGCTTAAAACTCTTTTTGTCTTTTTGTTTCTGACTTCAAATGACTCACAACAGTGAATTTCATATTTCTCATCTAACAAACAAGTTTCCCAACGGTCTTCTCCAACAAACTCAGCGTACATTTCAAATAAAATAAAAAAATATTTTTTTAAAAATATATTGTTTTAAAATGGTATGCCATTTCATATTTCTCATCTAACAAACAAGTTTCCCAACGGTCTTCTCCAACAAACTCAGCGTACATTTCAAATAAAATTTAAAAAATATTTTTTCTTTACTTTACATAACCGCCTGCTGCCATAAGTCTTTGACGCCAACCCATACCAGCTAATGAAGGTTGACTTGGTTTAGTTTCCAAACTAAACTTTGGTTTTGGTTTATCTTCAGTTTTTGGTTTTTCTTCTTCTATCGGTTTTTCGTCACTTTTCGGTTTCTCTGACTTTACTTCACTTGCAGGAACAGTTGTGTCGTCAACATCTTCATAAATATCATATGCCATTTGTTTTTGTTTTCCTTTCAACTTTTGTGTTTGTTGTAAAGTTTAGAATATTTCGACTCTAAGTCAATGAGATGTTCTATAATGAACTGTTGGTCAGTGAAGTAAACTTTTCCATCTGTTGTCTCGAAAGCTCCTTCAGACTTCAATATTTTATTTGTGAGAGTCTGTTTCTTTTTTGAGATACTAGCCGTTCCATTTTTATGAAAAGTGACTTTGTAGTTAGAGTTTGTATTTCCAGACCTGGCACTTTCTATTATTGAATTTTTCTCTTCATCTGTAAGTTCTTTGACAGGTTTTGACAATGGTTCTGAACTTTTTGTTTGTGGTGTCAAATCTACCGTTTTCAACTTCTTCGGTCATTTCATCTCAGTAAAAAATTTTAGTTTGGTTTGTTTTCAACTGGTTGTTGTTGTTTTTTAAGTCGGTATAAAACTTCCTGAGGTATAGGAAGAACTTGACAAACACGTTGTGTAACTGCTGGAAGTCGACAAATCCATCTTGAAACCCATTTGTCTCAATGCTGTATTGTTCATTTCATCTCAGTAAAAAATTTTACATTCCCCACGTTTGAGGCGGTTGAGGTTGGTTATTGTTTACCCACTGTTGTGCATGGTTATATCCTCTGTTAAAGAATCTTTCACCTTGGTCCATATAGTGTCCTGCTTGGTTATAGTAGTCATTTGCTTTGTTATAATAGTTTCCTGCTTGTCTTCCTACATTGTCCATCCATCTTGAACTTTTCCTCTGTTTCAGGATTTGGAATAAGATTTGTTGCATCTCGTGCTACATCCAACCTTTCTGTACAAGTTTGTATAATAGGTTGTGCTTTCTCTTTAAGTATACCTAATGTACTCAAAATCTTCCTTCCAACTCCAAATACACCTCTGGCTATTGTCCCACTGCGGGTAAAAATCTAGATGCGACTCCTGCTAATGCGCCAAATAAACCCATTTCTTATGGGTTAAAAAATGACGAATCCAAACAAGGACCCTATGTTTCTAAAGCGACAAAGAAAGCACTCATGATAAAAATCTTTAGTTCAACACCAAATGCTTGGTTTATGGATATCTTGGAAAACATTCCGAGAGTTAGAACAGATGGACCACCATACTGGCTAATATTTGTCGTCAAAACACAAGATACTGTGAAGCCATACCATTACAGTCCAAAAATATTTTAGATATCTTAGCAGCTTTGACAATATTCGTTGACAAATACCATCCAACAAAACTGACATCTGACTGTGAAAGTTCTTTCAAATCAGACGATGTAAAAAACTATCTGCGTTCAAAAAATGTAAACCAATATTTCATTGTCGACCAAAACCATTCTGCTCTTGGTGTCATTGACGGTTGTATAAAAATGTTAAGAGACTTAAACCAACCACAAGGTGGTGAAGCAAATGAAATGTCATATGACGACAAGTATAGACACTTCTCCATGGCAAAGATGAGACAAGTTTTAAATATTTACAATAGCCGTAAACAAAAAGGTTTGGGAAACCACTCCCCCGAAGAAATGAAAAACAACCCTAACTTAGAGAAAGACTATATATTTAATAATTTAGTCAAAAGAGACAAACAAGAAAGAATGCCGGGCTTCAAACTTCAGAAAGGTGACAAAGTAAAAATAGAAATACCTAAACGCGACCCATATGAAAATACTATTGACTATGACAACAATGGGAACCCGACAGGTACTCACATTCGTGTTCGTAAAAATAGAAGAAAGTATACAAGAGAATATTATGAAGTTTTAGGCAAACATGGCAAAATGTACACACTGCAAGCAGAAGATAAAACTACTATTGTCAGACCTCGTTTCAAACTTGTCAAAGTTCAAGGTGGTATACTTTCAAAGACAGTTCCTAACAAATATAAGACAACTCCTGACGAATATGCTAAAGAAGTTGAAAATGACGACTAAGCATTTCTATACCATGCGTAAACTGTCATGTAAGGTGGCATGTAGTCTTTACTTTGTCCAGTTGTTTGCGTATACCCTGAAACGCGATGTGTATGGTTTCCTCCTCCCTCAGTGTTACTCCAGAAACAATTTATAGCAAACTTAACGTTGTCTTTAACATCATATCCTTTACCTTTTGTCATTGCTGACCAATCCCAATATCTATGCTTATGCCAACCTGCTTGAGATGTACTTAAATCTATGTAGTGACTGTGCGCAGGTAAGTTTTCACCTGAAATCGTTTTACTTCCACCTGTTTCCTTTGAAGAGTTTGCACAATACAAAAACCTGTCGACTATTTGAGTCCAAGTTCCAAAACCAAGTACTACTTCTGGTCTGGTAGAGTTCATTGACGTATAAATAGAGCCAACCGGGTAAATAAGATTCGGCAAAATTTGTTTAAGCACATTGAGTTCCTGTCTTAGATGTATAATACTATTGTCATTAGATATCAAAGTATCTACAAGACTTGTTGCCGGTGGTATTGTTGGAGCTTTACTTGGCAAGGTTGTGTTTAGTGTAATATCATCTGCTGTAAAAGTTGTAAAACTTGTATGTGTATGAGTCTTATTTGCTTTCTTCTCTAACTCATCGTTAACATATGTTTTATCCGCTTTAAGGTCTAAACATCCTGAAACCCATCCTGTATCGGCTTTACTTTTTAAAATCTTCGATGTCCATTCATGGTACCAGTCAACCCTTTCTATAATTTCGTTATCTTTTTCATCCACATATTCCTTATCTGCCTTCTTCACTAACACACTAGCCACCAATCCCTTATCTGCTTTCTTTTCAAGGCTAACGTTTAAGTCTGTTATTTCAGATATAGAATGTGTATGAGTCTTTTTAGAATATTCTTTGTCAGCTCTTGTCACTTCACTTGACATTTTATTGTCAACATATGTTTTGTCTGCTAGTTCAGGATGAGTATGTTCTTTTGTTGCATAAGCTTTGTTAGCTCTTTCTTCTTCTTTTGCTATTGCATCGTCTACATATTCTTTGTCAGCTTTGTTGCCAACATCTGCTTTCAAAAGAAGTTCATTTATAGGTTTCTCGTTTAAAGTTCCTTTTGTTGGATTTATACAGACAGTATGGTTCTTATTGTCTTGAAACAGAAACTCATCTGTCATTGGGTTTAATGTCAGTTTTAAGTTTCCTTCTTTCAATGACTCAGATATCTTAGAATAGTTTGAAAAGTTTGTTGTGTTCTTATTTAGAGCTTGCATAATGAGTTGTCGGTTGTGTTGTATTTCTCTCATAGACGCTGTTTCATTTGACATTTTTATTATAGATAAAATATGCTTCCAATAAAAAGAAAATTCTAGAGTTGCTACAACTAAACCATTAGATGAACTTTTTACCAATGTAGGTCAAAAGTTGAGACAGAGACCGTAAAGCATGAAGGCTATCGTTTTGACTACCCGTTAAGATGGTTAAGAGACCCATCTGTCACAAAAGCTATTGGCTTTCGTAGAATGAAGTTCATTTCAGAAGCCATACATGGTTTCCCATTTACGGTCGGTTTTGAAGTTCGATACTATAACAAAGAAAAACGTATGTATGAGAAATTTGAACAGGGAAAACTTTTACAAGTGAATTTGCTTGTAAACTTAGAAACAACTCTTCAAGCTTTTCAAGAAAAAATAAACGACATCTATATCGAATATGCAAACCAGTATAACATTGACGAGGGAGAGTACCATCTCGATATTATTTATGACAGGAAAAATGCAACTGTTAAAATCAATAGAATAGAAGACCTTGGAGAAAACGTTTATATTTCTACAAAATATAACAACTTGGCATGGTATAGATTTATGAGGATGTTAAATCAGCCTGCAGAATATCCAGTACACCCGGACTTTTATGAAGTCGAAAACCCTAATGGAACATATGAAAATGTTTTCGACCAAGATGCTGTGATAGTTCATGCTTCATTTTCTGGTGCACAAAACTCTTTCTTATGTTTGGCAAATGACTTTTACGAAAAACCTACAAAGTTATACGAACCACCAAGTGGAAGTATTTCAGACTTTCAAGTATGGTTTACAACAGATGGAAGAAAAAGAATAATTCCATTATACCATGCGTTTTACTTAGAACTTAGTTTCATATACAACTACTATCGAACGGTAAAAATATAATTTTTTAATACGGTTGAGGTGTTGGATTTGGTTGCCAACTTGACTGTGGTGCAGGTTCAGGCTGTTGTATAACAGGAGCTTGTTCTTCTGGTTCAGGGTCTTTAGGTATAATACCAACAAACTGACCTACTCTTTTACCAATATTTTTGACTCCGTTCCAAATTCCTCTTCCTACGGTTTTTATTCCATTCCATATACCTCTTCCAACATTTCGAAAGAAGTTTCCAATACTACTGAAGAAACCCATTTACTATATGTAAAAATCTAATGTCCGCCTAGTCTCTTACGTTTCCTTCTGAGTTCCATAGCATTTTTTAACTGGAGCTCATACATTCTGTTTCTCCTCTGGTAGAAAACATATTCTGGGTCAACTCCTGTGTTCGCGTCATCTGCATAAAGTTGTTTATATCCCACTTCAGGGTTTGTATAAAACTCTTTCCATCTCATATTTGCATACCATGGTGGCAAACCTAACGCAGCGTCATTTGACATGGCAGTTTGCATTTGTACATCTGTTGGCACTTGACCATAGTTTGCCATTGCAGTTTGTATTCTAACTTCATTTGGAATATTCTCTGGGTTTGGTTGTCCAGGTTGCTGTGCATTCGCTAAGTTCTGTGCGTCCATTTAATATTAGATAAAAATATCTCTTACGAGTACATATACTGAACATTTGCAGGCATTGGTTCATCTTCATATTCTCTGTACCTTTCTGCCACGTCAAATAAATAAATGACACAATGGAAAAAACCTAAAACAAGTAGTCCTATTTCAAACCACATTTACTTACTAGTAAAATTTCTTTGTTATGACACTTTCTCCGGTTTATAGGACCTCTCTCATATTCTATCTTGTCATATCTAAACTCATAGTCATGTATGTCCTCTAACCATCTCATAACGGTTTCCAAACCACTTTTATCGGATGTAAAGTAAAAGCATGGACAGTTATGTAAAACGTCTAAAGTTTCTAAAGAGTCTCTCAAAGTCCAGTCTACTTGGTATTGAAAATCGCATGTGTTATAGAACGGCGGGTCCACTATAAAGAAAACATTTTCCTTGTCTTTATATTTTTCATACAACTCTGTCCAACGACATCTCACAAACTCTATACCCTCAATATATTTTTCTATGTCCTCTTTGAAAACATTTGTATAGTTAAGATATAAAACTTTTGACATAAGTGTTTCAATGTCATGAACTCTTATAGAACCACTATATAATAGTCTAGCAGATATACTATCCCAGTCTATATATTCTGCTTTTTTCAAAACCTCTCTCACAATATTTTTCTTATCTAATGGTATACGTTCCATCTTACCTATAGGTATCTTTTCTTTTAACTCTTTCAATATATTGTTTGTGTCTGGTATATGTTTGAGACGGTCCATATAGTTGTCGAAGTCATTGCATATAATCTTTGAGTCTGGGAATATTGTATGGCACAAATGGGATATATAGAAACTTCCACCGAACAAATCTACAAATGTTAGACCATTCGGTAGTTTCTTAAGTTCTCTCAATAGAATATCTTTACATCTACTCTTATTTCCAAAGAAGGGTAACGGTGGTTTTGTAAAATTCATTTATATATATATAATAAAAATGTTTTTACCTGAAAAGTGACAGAAAAGGCTTCTCAAAGTATACTTCCTTGGAACGCCTGTAACTTTTCCTGTAGCGACGATAGACCCTTACTTGTCCGGACAAAGTTATACTAAACATCTTCAGGGCTAGAGGGCACGAAGTGCCTGGAGGCCCCACTACCTTTTTTTTCCCTATATTTGATAAAATTTTTTTTATCAAAACATACTGATAATAGGTTGACATGTAACATGATATTTTGCCTTGTAAATATATTTGGTCGGCAAAATAACCTAATTACTCTTATTTTGAGTTCACTTCTACCATTTCGTCTTATGATATTTTTTCAAGACAAATCTTGTCCTGATTCAGAACAAGACTTGCACTTTTTAGTCAGTTTTTCTTGTAAAGTTCTCAAATTTGAGAACAATTGTCCTGATTCAAGACAAGTCTTGTATTTTTTCAGAACAAGTCTTGTATTTTTTCAAGACAAATCTTGTCCTGATTCAAGACAAGTCTTGCACTTTTTCAGGAAATCCTATCGTCCAACTTTACAAATGTCACTTTTGAACATGATTGCATTTTGGTCGGGGAACAACTTTCTCTCATTTTGTCACTTTTTCTATCGTCGTGTTCTGTCACTTTTCCCTCAGGGTGTGTGTCAGAAAATATCCAAAATCTTTATAGCCTCGTATCTCCTTCAATTCTTGATGGTTTGACATGTATGACACACCATTCAATTCAGAATTATGTGCTGAATCTTATGACCTTCATTTGTTCGTGACTTCTTTTCACATATGTAACCATGAATTTTTAACATTTCTTTAACACAGAAAAATAAAGTTAGTTTTATTTTTATTTATTTTTTTATTTTGTATGTAAGAACAGAAATGTCAACATCAGAGAACACAACAACAGTTATAGTCCATGAAGCTATAAATGAAGAATACGAGTACATACAGTATAACAAACAACTTCGCCTCATTAGTTCGGTCAAAGATGACATGTACCAAATGCAAAGTATAATGAATGCTCTTCGTTCTACAAAGCAAGCATATCATTGGTTTGAAAACCAACAGACAAAAGAACTTTTAGAAGAATTTCCTCATATGATTGCTTCCCTCGGAAAACCGAGAGAAGAGATTCCGTACGAAAATCGCAAGAATTTGGCTCCTGGTTTGAAAGGATATTATGTTCATAGACTTTTAGTAAATGCTGTAGCAATGTGGGCTTCACCTCGTTATGCTTGTTATATTTTCATGATGTTAGATGAACTATATAAAGCAGAACGTGGAGAGATGGAAAAGAAACTTCAAGCAAAAGATGAAGTCATTGAATCCAAAGACAAAAGCATACAGAAAAGAATACCACGTTCAGTACCAAAAGGAAAGGAAAAAAGCTATAAGTATATGATTTACGCTGAAGAGATGGAGAAAGAAGAAGATAAAGATATGGTTATGTTGCATTTAGTCAGAAGAAACAACAAGAGCTTTTATGACTTAGCTAAAATATATAAATCTGACAGAAACTGGTTCTATCGTGAAAACTTACCGATTTCAATGACACCGAATGAGCAAATAAAGGAAATTGTCAAAATTACTCTTCCTCAAACACACTATGACATCAAAGGTTGCACAATACTTACATTCAAAGAAGACTTAACATTACTGAAGGAAAAAATAACAGAATATTTCGATAACTTCAAAGAGGAAGAATAAAAAATCTAAGCTAATTTTATTTTTTTATAAAATTTTATCTCATATGAAAGAACATGAATTTAGAATATTCGGAACTCATGACAGAAGAAGAGAACGAACAACATGTAAAAGATTATGCAAAATTTCTGAAGACATACAAAGCATTTAAACAATATCTAAAATGCTTCTAAAGATTATGCAAAATTTCTGAAGGTATATAAAGCTTATGAAAAAGCGTATGAAAAGTTTATACATTGGGGAATTGTTGTAAAATATCGATATGAAGACTAACCAAAAATATATTTTTGCTTAAATAGCTTCAGGGTCTATTTCTTCAACCATTTCACTTCCTTCGTCAATGTCAATAGAAGCTTCTTCAACCTTTGTAAGAATTTCTGTATAACATCTTTGTTCGTTATTGTCTTCAGAGATGAAGATAATATTTCACATTTGTTTCACCTTTCTTATATTCTTTCTGTTCGAAAGATTTAAAACAATACTGAAGAAGTCAATGTTAGAGTTCTTTATGACAGTATAATGAGTATCTTTGACATTCACGAAGAAACCCTTTGTGTTTCAAAACTACTGCTAACTCTTGTGAAGTATAACGTTTGCGGTCAATGACGATAGCTAATGGTCTGACATACTGACCAAACTTAGATTCTTTCACAAATTCTTGTTAAAGATAACATTAACATTTTGAAGCATTACTGAACTCATTCTTGATGGCAGTAGCGAGAGCATTGTATGAAAAGAACTTGCAATCTTGCATGTGTTTCATTAAAATAAAAATATTAAATTATTTTGAAAAATAACTTAAAAAAAATCTAATCTAATTTTTTCAAAAAAAATATTTTTTTATTTCCTACTAAAGATGTATCGGAAGTTGTCTAAGTTAGAACACTCGGAAATAAAACAACTTCTTACAGAAGCTAATATAGATGTTGCAAAGCATTACGCAACAAACAAAAAAGCACTCGCTGACTTCATTAAAAGACTACAATGGTGAAATAACTTATGATAGAATTCATGAGTTCATAAAGCCGCAACGCGGCGAGGACGAAGTCCATGCAAGAACTTTTCCTTTAAATGACGTTGCTATTGACTTATATCATAGACGTTCAATACCTCATGAAGTAAGAAGAGAAATGTTTGACATAAACAAATGCAAACGTTGTCATACTCGTAAAGCTCTTTCACATGATGTTCGTCAAGAGATGTTTGAACTTACGAACTCAAACGTTGGTGAAACAAGAAGAGCTGTACCACATGAAGTAAGAAGAGAAATGTATGACATAACAAATGCAAACGTTGGTGAAACAAGAAGAAGAGACGACACACTGAAACAACAGAGAAGAGAGATGTTTAAAAGTGCTATAGAACAAGTTCGCAAAGCTAACGATGTCCTTCGTTCCATTGACGACAAACCAAAAGAAGGTGAGAGATGGTTAAAGAAAGATGAGTTCTGTGAAGTTAGTTTCCAAAGGAGGAACTTGTTCGTTTCCTTCAGGCTCTTCTAGCTGTTGTTGCTGAACTATTTCTTCCATGTCTGGTTGTATCTGAACTTCTTCCTGTTGAGTTTCTTGTACCTCATCTGCTGGCATTTCATATATTCCGAGACCGTTTTTAAAAAGTTCCCTATCTAAGTCATCCGGACTCATAAACCTTTCTTCTTTCGTTCCGTCTCTATTTTTTACGCGTTTCATGAAGAGAGTTGAATTGTCATTTAGCTCTGACACCAAATATCTCGGAGTAAATTCGTTCATGTCATTTGGATGATATGCTATTAAATCATATCCCTTAGCGAGCTTGTATTTTCCAGGTTTGAAATTATATCCCATTTGGTGCTGAACCATAAAGCTAAATAGGTTCGGGTCTGTATTTCCTTCCTTGAACTTTCTAATAGCTTCTTTATATCTGTCACTAAAGTCAAGAGTATCTGGGTAACCATAGTCTTCCTTAAGCATTTTTAAGAAATCTTGGTTTCCTTGTTCTCTACTTCTTTTATGTCCTTGCTCTGTTTGTGGTTGTTGTGCTGGTTGTGGAGGTGGTTGTTGTGCAGGGTTTTGAACTGTTGGTTGCTGTGCTGGTTGTGGAGGTGGTTGTTGTGCAGGGTTTTGAACTGTTGGTTGCTGTGCTGGTTGTGGAGGTGGTTGTTGTGCTGGTTGTTGTTGTTGTTGTGGTGCTGGATTTTGAACTGTTGATTGTTGTGTTGGTTTTGGTGCATGCCTGTGTCTGTGTCCATGTGACGATGTAAATGTTTTAGGTAGTCCTGGTGCAGGTGCTTCTCTTGGAGGGTTTGGTGGTATATAAGTTCCACTAGCTAGTATATAAGTTCCACCAGCTGGTATATAAGTTCCACCAGCTGGCACATATGTTCCATCTGCAGCATAATGTCCTACCTGACTTTTCGTTCTTAAGAAAGCATTTACTAGGTCTCTTTTGGTCTGTTGTAACTCTTTTTCTTGACTTTCCACAACAGCTGTTCTAACGGCGTCATGGGCACTTTGAACTGCCTGTCTCGTTGCTGCATCTGTTATTTTCGTCATATTTTGTGCTACTTCTTTTAACTCTTTGTCGAAACCTTCAGACTTCAGTTTCTTTCCAGATGAGAAGTCGTTCACTAGTTTCACCTTACTATGAAGAGCTTCGAAGGCGTTCTTAAAGTCAGCATTCGTTAAAGCTTCATTTGAACTGTCTTCATCCGCTTGTATTTTTGTCCTTATTGACCCTATAAGTTGGGCTGCTTTAGCGTTGGCTTGGGCGTCTAACCAGTCATTATTAGCTTTTATATATTCTGCGCTTTTCATTGCCTTTTGCATGGCTGCGTCGTTATTTTTACTTTCTTGTGCTAAGTTTTCATACTGTACGGTTTGGTTTTGCAACTGTAAAAGTTTTTCTGCCTTTACATTTGCTTCAACTTCTTTTTTATACTCATCGCTATCCATATATGTCTTCAGGGCTTTTTGTTTTATTTCTTCATCTTTCAGTACTTTATATTGAGTAGTATGGTTTTTCAAATTTATAACATCTTGTTCCATTTTTGCTACTTCTGCTGCTTTTTCTGACACTTTTTTCGCATATTCCTCTGTACTTAGTTCTTTCAGTTGTTCTTCTTTCTTCTTTTTCTCTACGTTTAACTCATTGAGTTTCTTTGTGTGTCTGTCATATTCTAGTTTCTTTTCGTTTTCACTTATTTGTTTCTGTATGTCTATGTTTGACTTTTTGACATCTGTTATTTGATTTTTGAGTGAACTCAAATTCATTTGACTTTGAGGGTTATAAGCTGTTCCGTCTGCAGCTCCACCATAGCCTGCCATTTTCGCTAAAAGTGCCGCTCTTAAACCTCCACTCTGTGCACCAATAACTCGGTTTAAAAGCATAGGGTTGCTTGACATTTGTTGCAACATAGTGGGGTCATTCAGCATTTGTTGTTGCAACTGTTGTTGTGGTGTCAGTTTTACTATTGGATGTTTCAATGCTCCCTTCCTCTTACGTATATTCTTACGTAGCTTACGTGGCATTTTAAGTGAAGTTAAAAAGCGGTTTTATACTAAACATCTTCGGGGCTAGAGGGCGCAACGCGCCTGGAAGCCCCACTACCTTTTTTTTTTCAAGTAGATGTGATTTGATTCTGTACAACTAAATATTAATATATTTAAAACATTGTAGAATTAAAATTTTTGACGATATCAATTTATAAAAAAAATGCAAGCGAATCCTTTTAATAAAGCTAAGATACGATTTGCTTCACTTTGTCCACCTAGTAAAGTGTTCAACACAGGGAGCATGGACTGGGAAGCATGTGGGCTACTTGCATTAGCCGGTAAAGGCACAATTTATCTCTATAAAACTACTAAAAATGATATTTCTTTCTTATGATCCATTGAAATTCTAAATTCTAACATAACTTGCCTTAAATTCCACTATGAGCTACCTTATCTTGCAATTTCAGACGATTGCGGAAGAGTTTTGTTATGGGATTGTGAATCAGGTCTTACACTCGGAATCACTCGTCAAGTATCTGAAGCTCAGTATGTATCGGAGCTTCAATGGTCCCGTAAAATCGTTTTAGGCTTTGCAGAACCAAATACAATTTATAGTATCGATTTTTGGCCGTATGAAGCTGAAGATCAAGCGAAAAACTCACGAATACTTTGGAAGATAGATGTTCCTGGTACATATACAAGGATGGCTGTTAATAGTTCAGATATATTCACTGCAATTCTATATTCTAATGGTCCATCCTTTACAATTATCACGTCAAAGAATGCCAAGCAGGCTCCAACATCTCAATCTCAATCCCATACTTTAGATAAATCAGAAAAAATCGTAGAAATTCAACATCATCCCCATATTAGTAATATTTTATTAATTATGCTTGAAGGAAAAATACTTACGTTTAACATAGCGACCAAATCTGGCCGAAATCTTGTAATCGATGAATCATCCCAATCATCTTTCCATAAACTGCTTCCTTCTTTAACAAATGACAACGAAATTACAGTTTATGGTCAAGACTCGTCACTCAGTATCTATATCTGTAACGAAGACTACATTTTTACAAAATCAGGAACAATAAAATTGAAAAGAGAGCTGTTTGACTTAAAATCGAAGTATTTACCACTATCCGCTGCATGTAACCGTGCACTTCCCGAGCGATACATCGCGTTCTCTCCATCAAATGGCTTAGTTATGTTTGCCATAAAAGATGATATACCTTACGTCATCGCGCAGTCTCAAATTATACCACAGATACCAACCTGTTACGATTTCTACGACGGAATCCTTGCTTTCGGCACTCCAACCGGAAAGATAATTTTCGCAGACGTTTCAGAAGGGAAATACACACAGAACTACCTTGCATCCAGCACATCCATTGAAAAGATCAAGTTCCTTACCAAAGATGTCCTTCTGTGGTACTCAAAAACCGAGTGTGGATCAATAAATCTTCCCAAGCGCCAAGTTATTCCAATCCACACTCGCCTTGGCCCTGCCACAGACCTAATATGTTCAGAGGAGCTCGGCGTTTTCGTCCACGGCAAATACGACCTTGGTATTTTTTATGATGTCAAACAAAAGCCGATGACTCTTCAAACATCCATCACCGCTGTTGCAGTCCAAGTATCCAGAATACCAGCAACATGTTTCCAAGGCGATACTCCCAATTTCGCCGTATTATTATCTACCGGAGAAATCCAAGTCTACACATACAAGAACGGCATAGCACAGATGCCTGTTCTGAGGCTGCGTAACTCACGGGAGAACTCCAGGACAACTTGTCTTGCTTGGAAAGGCGATTGCATCATAACTGCTGACACAGACGGCGTAATTATGTTTTACGACTTTGCTTTCGGTACATCGAAGCAAACATACTCTCCTTTCATCGACATAGACAGGATAGAGTTCGAGAGATCATCCAGCGGATTGTACGTACACGCGAGAGACGGAAAATTTGGTTTTTCACTTGAAAAAGTGGAAAGTTGTCCTTTTTCTGTTTCCTCATTCGCTGTAACAGGAAATGGACTCGTCCTCGTCTCCCCGCTCAATGACGAAGCCGTGAAATTCGTTATTGCAAGAGACTGGAGATCTGTAAAAAGAATCACTTCACCTGCCTCTTAAAACCGCTAAAAACCGCCCAGCAACGGTTAGAGCTTATGGGTGAGCAATTATTAACGAATCCTACTACAGGAACATGGTCAGAAGCACTTCAAATAGCTGAGATAGCTAATGACCATGGATTTCCAACTGATTCCATTATTTGGAAGTGTGTTTCACGTAGTTTGGGAGGTCCGAGGTTGCAAGCACGACATTCCATGTTTGGAGGGAAAGAAGAAGTTGTTTCCGCGTTGAGGATTCAATCTTCTCTGTTTTCTCCTGCAGATACTCCGATTTCTGCCATTTTCAACTTGTTGTTCAAGTTCAGAATGGGTGATAGAAGAGGAGCTGTCGAAGTTTTCAAGAGTCTCTCCAACAAAAGCGAGTTCACAATAGTGGCAAGCATTTGTTCGGCGTTGCTTCTCGGTTACGAAGATAAAATTTTGCCACAAAACGTGACAGAATTTTTGATAACAACCGCTGTTCCACTTTTTGCACAGCACAGATTTATAGAAGGCTGTATATTGATGCATTTAGCTGGCGCTAATCTTTCTGCCGCAAGATATCTTCAGGACAACGGAAGATGGGAAGATTCTGTCGAAGTCTGCAAATTGGAAGAGTTTTCGAATGAGTCGAAGAGTTTGTTGAGAAGAGCCGCCCACCACTTCTTGGATACTGGAAATGCAATGAACGCTTTGTTGCTGTTCATATCAATAAGAGATTTCCATCCTGCTTTGGCAATTTTGATGCAGATAAAATACAAAGCTCTCGCGTTTCATTTGATGATGTTCTTGGATAGGGCTGATGTAATTAAGCCGTACGACGAAGACACTTCGAGATACGCAACACAGTTTGCGGATTTGGATACTTTGAGACAGGATATAATTGTCAAATATGACAAAATAATTAAGAAATAATTTTATTTGTATATTTATTTTCTTTATTTATAAAAAAAAGTCGAAAAAAAATGAAATTGTTTATATCGCATTTTCAATGATCTTTCAAGCCAGTTGTCAGATAGAAAAAAATTACGCATTTAACAAAGTTAAAGGGGAAAAGCATCCTGAAATTACGAAACATTTTAAAAAAAAATAAAAAAAAAATAAAGTGGGAAAGTCTGGAAATGATATGCTATGTATTGTAATTTTCAAAACTCAGCTTTCTAATGGAGCTATCACTTGTTACGTAAACTATATATATCGAATCAAAAGTTTGCTATGTTGTAATTTGATTTACAAGACATGATTTAATTAAAAAATAAAGGGTTTAAAATATAAAATAAAATATTTATCAAAGAAAAAAAGTTAAACTAAAAAATAAAGAGGTAGCAGTTTGACCAGCTGGATCTGTGATAGAAACTGTAATTTTAACCGTTGAGTCTTCAGAAATCTTTGAAGGAGCTGCAATTTGGAAAATTGTTTTCACTTTAGGAGAATATAATTTTCTCTTAAAATATACAAAAATAGTAATATCAATACATGTGTATAATATACTTTAAAACCATCGTGACAAAATTCAAAAACGAAGAGTTCTTCTCTCCAAATTTTTTCAAAATTAAAAAAATGAGATAAAAAAGTACGTTTGGAAAATTCATTTTTAGCATTTTAGGAATTTTCTCACTTTTCTTCCAAATTAACATCCTTAATTAAATTAAATTACACATTAACACCGGAGCCGGAATCATCTTGGATATCAGATGATGATTTATCTTTAGATGGTTTCCTGCAGAAAACGAAGTAGATGATGAGAATAATAAGGATAACAGCAAGAAGAACGCCAATAACAATACCAGCCTTCTGTCCACCAGTAAGTCCACTATTTTCAGGTGTTGGAGTTGGCTTGGAATCATCAGGGCTTGGTGCAACGTATTGTTGTTTCTGAAGTGAAACCTCTGTTTCAATGATATTGGATTGAGCTTGATCTTTGGATCCAACTAACCTAATTTGAAGTTTAACTTTTCCATCTTCTTTGATATCTTCATACTTTGGAGCTGGAATGTTGAGTAGATATGTTTTGCCTTCGTCGGCATGTAATTTCTTAATTGCAGATGGGGTTTCTACTTCAGTTACATTGTTGTCTGGGAGATCTATCCATTTCTGATCTGCATAGAATCTATATTGGAAGCTTCCTGTCTTTGCCTCAAAGTGTTGTAATGTAACTTTAACTGGAATATATTCACCGGCCTTGAATGGTTGTGTATGATTTTCAGCAACAACAGTTGCCGCAGATAAATATGGAGACTTTCCAAGAGAATATATAACATTACCGGTACCTAAGTTGGATTTATGATTGGCCTCGCTCTCAACAACAACAAATAACTTTGTCTTATTATGATCCTCTGGAGCGTTAACTTGGAAAGTCCATTCTACCTCGTTCGTGTTATTTACGGCTGTTGCATTGATAACATTTTGTGATGTTGTGACGTTAGTGACAGAGATGTTGGAAGTGTTGCTTTCTGTTGCAAAGAGATAATATGCCTTTGTAATCTTTAAGCCTGTTTTGAGTATGATTTTGGCTAAGTATGACTTGCCTGAAGTTACTCCTGTGCCATTGTTGTAAAGAACTCTATCGATAACTGGTGTGGGGACTGTGGTAGAATATATAACATTGCCGGTACCTAAGTCGGATGTATGATTGGCCTCGCTCTCAACAACAACAAATAACTTTGTCTTATTATGATCCTCTGGAGCGTTAACTTGGAAAGTCCATTCTACCTCGTTCGTGTTATTTACGGCTGTTGCATTGATAACATTTTGTGATGTTGTGACGTTAGTGACAGAGATGTTGGAAGTGTTGCTTTCTGTTGCAAAGAGATAATATGCCTTTGTAATCTTTAAGCCTGTTTTGAGTATGATTTTGGCTAAGTATGACTTGCCTGAAGTTACTCCTGTGCCATTGTTGTAAAGAACTCTATCGATAACTGGTGTGGGGACTGTGGTAGAATATATAACATTGCCGGTACCTAAGTCGGATGTATGATTGGCCTCGCTCTCAACAACAACAATAACTTTGTCTTATTATGATCCTCTGGAGCGTTAACTTGAAAGTCCATTCTCTCGTTCGTGTTATTTACGGCTGTTGCATTGATAACATTTTGTGATGTTGTGACGTTAGTGACAGAGATGTTGGAAGTGTTGCTTTCTGTTGCAAAGAGATAATATGCCTTTGTAATTTTAAGCCTGTTTTGAGTATGATTTTGGCTGAGTATGACTTGCCTGAAGTTACTCCTGTGCCATTGTTGTAAAGAACTCTATCGATAACTGGTGTGGGACTGTGGTAGAATATATAACATTGCCGGTACCTAAGTCGGATGTATGATTGGCGTCGCTCTCAACAACAACAATAACTTTGTCTTATTATGATCCTCTGGAGCGTTAACTTGAAAGTCCATTCTTCTCGTTCGTGTTATTTACGGCTGTTGCATTGATAACATTTTGTGATGTTGTGACGTTAGTGACAGAGATGTTGGAAGTGTTGCTTTCTGTTGCAAAGAGATAATATGTTTTGTAATTTTAAGCCTGTTTTGAGTATGATTTTGGCTAAGTATGACTTGCCTGAAAGTTACTCCTGTGCCATTGTTGTAAAGAACTCTATCGATAACTGGTGTGGGACTGTGGTAGAATATGTAACATTGCCGGTACCTAAGTCGGATGTATGATTGGCCTCGCTCTCAACAACAACAAATAACTTTGTCTTATTATGATCCTTTGTAGCGTTAACTTTGAAAGTCCATTCTTCTTGTTCGTGCTTGCTACGGCTGTTGCATTGATAACATTTTGTGATGTTGTGACGTTAGTGGCAGAGGCGTTGGAAGCTTCGCTTTCTGTTGCAAAGAGATAATATGTCTTTGTAATCTTTAAGCCTGTTTCGAGTATGATTTTGGCTGTGTATGGATTGCCTGAAATTACTTCGTTGCCATCGTTGTATTGAACACTCTCGATAACTGGTGTGGGACTGTGGAAGAATATGTAACATTACCGGTACCTAAGTTGGATTTATGATCGGCGTCGGTCTCAACAACAACAAGTAACTTTGTCTTATTATGATCCTTTGTAGCGTTAACTTTGAAAGTCCATTCTTTCTTGTTCGCTTGCTACGGCTGTTGCATTGAGAACATTTTGTGATATTGCGACGCTAGTGCAGAGGCGTTGGAAGCTTCGCTTTCTGTTGCAAAGAGATAATATGTCTTTGTAATATTTAAGCCTGTTTCGAGTATGATTTTGGCTGTGTATGGATTGCCTGAAATTACTTCGTTGCCATCGTTGTATTGAACACTCTCGATAACTGGTGTGGGGACTGTGGAAGAATATGTAACATTACCGGTACCTAAGTTGGATTTATGATCGGCGTCGGTCTCAACAACAACAAGTAACTTTGTCTTATTATGATCCTTTGTAGCGTTAACTTTGAAAGTCCATTCTTTCTTGTTCCCGCTTGCTACGGCTGTTGCATTGAGAACATTTTGTGATATTGCGACGCTAGTGGCAGAGGCGTTGGAAGCTTCGCTTTCTGTTGCAAAGAGATAATATGTCTTTGTAATATTTAAGCCTGTTTCGAGTATGATTTTGGCTGTGTATGGATTGCCTGAAATTACTTCGTTGCCATCGTTGTATTGAACACTCTCGATAACTGGTGTGGGGACTGTGGAAGAATATGTAACATTACCGGTACCTAAGTTGGATTTATGATCGGGTCGGTCTCAACAACAACAAGTAACTTTGTCTTATTATGATCCTGTAGCGTTAACTTTGAAAGTCCATTCTTTCTTGTTCCCGCTTGCTACGGCTGTTGCATTGAGAACATTTTGTGATATTGCGACGCTAGTGGCAGAGGCGTTGGAAGCTTCGCTTTCTGTTGCAAAGAGATAATATGTCTTTGTAATATTTAAGCCTGTTTCGAGTATGATTTTGGCTGTGTATGGATTGCCTGAAATTACTTCGTTGCCATCGTTGTATTGAACACTCTCGATA